GACGTCGAAGGTTAATTTTTTGAATATCAAAACAGCGCCCCGGACTTCCAATAGTACTCAGGAAGTAATAATGGTATAATAAATCTAAATATACCCATAGAAAGCTTAGAATATCTCCTATGTGCGTATAGAGCCATATTAAAAAAAAAAAAATACCTACCTACTGTTTTTACAATGAGAAGTTTTCCATTTTTCAAAAGGTTATAAAATAAATAGCAAATAAGTTTTGCAAAAAAACTTTCTATAGGCACGTAGAATAAGTTCTGGTCTTTAATTTGGTACTAAATTCGATTCTCTACGACAAACAATGTTTGAATACTATTGGAAGTGCGAGGGGATGTTTTTATGGAAAGTGTAAAAAAAACCAGCGTTTATGCTTTAAACCGGTGCTGCTGTTGCAACGCGGCGGCTGTTGCCAATATATCATACCCCCACCGCTGAGGCAACTACTATGTAGTGTGTACTGCATAATATTATTATGAAGGCCGAGTGCCGACCCGCGTCGTCGCTATCTGTAAAATAATTATAGCGGGCGGGCGGCGATATTATTTATATTTTTATAAATAAATTATTTATACGATTATTGTCGTCTGTCGATTATAGATATTAGATATTATTCTATCTATAATTATTGTGATTCGTGGTATGAAACAACGACATTTGATAATAGTATAGTAGTATACTAATAGTAATATCACTTCTGTAGTTCTGTATTTTATTATAGTACTATAGTAATTAGTAGGTAAGCTACGAATTATTTTGCCGTTACTGTGTGTTGTATTTTTATTATATTTTGTTGCCTTTGCTTCACTAAAAAATGGACCGTTCTAAAAAGAATACTCCATACAGTTCAAAGAAACCGTCTGTAAAAAAAATCGTGGCTGAAAGATTGAAAGCAGCCCGTGATGCAAAAAGGTAAATTCCAAATTACAAAATATGATACATTTATTATTTTTTTAGACTAAGAATTTTAAATTTATAATAAAATAATAATAATGCCTAGTTTACAGAATGCCTAGTTTACAGAATGAGTAGTACTTATCATAAGTACCAAGTCATTTAGGTACCTACTACTCGTCGACTATAAAATAGTATAACGGGTTTCTATTCCCTCACACTCGTGATTTTACTAATACTAGAAATTTTTACCAAATTTTTATATTAGCGTTGTCTATAGACGGTTAAATTATCAAAATATTTTGACTTTTTATGAGCTATTTATACAAGGTTTCTTATAAGTTTTAACTATCGCAATTAAAAAAAAATTAAAATTCGAGTCGATATTTTTTTTTATAAGCCAGTTTAAAGTCAAAATCGTCTAAATCGAGAAAGTTTAAATTTGTACGACATTGGATATTCATCAAAAAATGTTTAGATTAAAAACTGCTAATTTTAATGCTCAACAAGAGGAACATTTTGATTTGGCTCCCCATGATACGTCGACTGAAGAAAATTCAGTGGCACCTTTGTTATTAGAAGATGATAGATCGATGCCAGGTCCATCAGGAAACATATTTTCTAATGTAAATGAATTTACACCCAGGTATATATCAATAATTTATTAAATCGTCAAATCGTAGTTTGAACGTAAAATATTAAATCATATATAGGTAATGTCTTTTTTTTAATTTGTGAACTTTGTTAGAAATATCGATGAAATTGAAAGTCATGTGTTATCGGCTGAAAAAGCACAAACTCACGATTTTTCCAACACGTAATACTAATTTTATTTTCTATATGTACCGAATCTAACCAATCCTTACATTAACTATCCAAAATATTTTATTTCAGTGAATCATTTGGTGAAATTATTGGTAGGAGAATTGTCGATTTGTCCTACATATTTGCCCAAATAAAAAATGTTAATCATGATATTGGATTGGGATGTAGTTTCATTGATATGGATTTTGTGTCTGAAGACCGCAGAGGCTGTTATTCAGAGTGCTGGTTTATATGTAAGATGTGCAATATTAAATCGAAAATATGTACAGTAAAAGAATCGCCTAAAACCAATTGGTCTATAAATAAAGCTATCGTTAATAGTACAATAGCAATTGGTAAGTTTAAGCTACTTTGAAACTTAAAGAATAAAATCTGTGACTGGCAGTCTTGTAAAGTATTCGAATACAAGTATTTTAATACTTTTTTGTATTCAAATACGTATTCTAAATATATATTTTTAGTATTTTTATTTTATATTTAAAAGTATTATTTACAAGACGAGCAACTGGCTTATAAGTATGTCTATATAAACTATAAAGCTATGTGCATACATATGACATTATTATTTTTAGGAATAGGATACACACAAGTATACGAATTATTGTCTGGCTTAGAAATACCCTCGATTTCGTCTAATACGTACACACGTATCGAGACCTTATTAGGAGCTGAGATATCTAACACTGCTTGGTCAGAAATGGAAAAAGCTGGCCAAGAAGAAAAAAGATTAGCTATTGAGTCAGGCTGTGTAGGTTCTGATGGCATACCTATGATAACTGTGGTAGCGGACGGACAATGGTCTAAACGAAGCTACCGAACTAAATACGACGCATTGTCCGGTGTAGTAAGTATCATTTTTAAGTAACTAGATTTAATGTTAGAATCTCAATAAATGGAAAAATAATTTTTTTTAAGATTCGTTACTAACACATTTTATAATTTAATATAGGCTAGTATTATTGGTTATAATACCAAAAAAGTGTTGTTTGTTGGGATTCGGAACAGGTATTGCGTGATTTGCGAAAGATCTAATAATAAAAAAATAGAAACTCCGAATCATTTTTGTTTTTTGAATTGGAAGCAAGGTGCCACTAGCATCGAAGCCGATGCAATTGCAGAAGGTTTCAAAAGAAGTATAGAAATACACGGAGTAAAATATTCTAAACTGATAGGTAACAAAAAATTATAAATATATTTAGTATTATTATAGTATAGGTACTGTTACCTTGATAAAAACGTAAATTAAATTTAGGAGATGGTGACAGCAGTGTCACAAAGAGACTTAATGAGATACTACCGTATGGCCCAATATGTAGAGTCCAAAAAGTCGAGTGCCGAAACCATTTACTCCGTAATTACAGCCAAAAATTAATGGCGTTATCCAAGCGAACCGACTACCCGATTAAAATCCGGAAAAAAATATCTGCAAATATTTTAAGACTTAGAACTGATATAACATGTGCTATACGTTTCCGTAAATTAGAAAACAAACCTTTATATCATAAAGTTGCTGGTAATTAAAAAACACATTATATGTTGTACATGTTTTTATTTGCTAAATTATATATATAATATATAAAATTATTTTAGGACTTAGACTTGATATAGCTAACGCACCAAATCACCGTATTTTTGAAATCCACAAAAATTGTTCCGCATACTTTTGTAAAAGATCTGGTGTTCCGCAAAACATTATTTTAGAAGGGAAATCAATTAGACAGGAAATTGATACAATTGTATCTAGATTGTCAAATAATGCAGAAAGTTTGATAATGGATGTAGACAACAACGCTTGCGAGCAATTCAACAGTGTAATAAACAAATTTTTAGGTGGGAAAAGAATAAACTTTACACAAAAAAGTTCCTACTCTACTCGTGTACAAGCTGCTGTTATCAGTTACAACTCTGGAGAATATTTAAGATCGGTTAAGAAATATGTAACACATAAAAGCCCAGGTATTTTATGACACTTAAATTAAAAAAAATTATTATATTATATATTTATAAAGGTAATTCAAATATTTATTTATATGTTATATCTTGATCTTTAGGGAAAGTTGGTAAACAGTTTTTGCGACGAACACTAGCGAAACGTTATACGTGCCAGAAAAAAAGAAAAAGTAGTTCAAATGAACCAAAATTAAAATCTAAGCGGCCAAAAAGAAATAATAATGCAGATGAAGATTATGGTCATGCAGATCCTCTCGACAATTTAAAAGATGTTAATGATGAACAGTTTATAAATGAAATGAATGAATTTGTCAGGTTTTTATATTATTGTTGTCAATACAAATATACTTCTTTATATTCATAGTATATTATTCAACTTCTATTATTTTCAATATTTTTAGAAAGTTGGGTAAAGTTGACCGTGTGCACATCGAAAAAGAAACCAGAGACCAGGCTAGTAGTGAGTTATGGAAGCGGGAAAGATTATCGAGGCTAACAGGTAGTAATTTTGGGCGGGTGTGTAAAATGCGTCAAAATACAAGTTGTAAAAATACAGTCCATTCAATATTGTATTCTAATTTCACATCCAGGTAATAATAATAATTATTTTTGATATTTATTTGATGTTTTATCAAAATAAAAAAACCACTTTAGCGCAGTACAATTTGGCAAAGATATGGAACAAATTGCTATAAACAAGTTCGAAGAAATGTCTGGTTTTCAAGTAAAGCCTTGTGGATTGCACATTGATGAAGAATACCCGTACCTTGCCGCTAGTCCAGGTTAGTTTTTTCAGGATTTGTTATGTTTAAAATGTTTGACCATAGTCTACAGTATGTACCCACATAGCTCCAATTATGTCGATAGTAATTTAATTATTTATACAAATAATAATGTTTAAAATAAATATTTAGATGGAGTCATTGACAACGATAGGCTAATTGAAGTTAAGGCTCCTTATGCGGCTAGAAGTACAATAAATTATATTGAAGCAGTAGAAACTGGAAAAGTATGTACCTATACTTACATATAACTCATAAGTATCCTTTTGTGTTTTACCTACTATAAACAGCTGTGAAGCATTATAAACTATTTACTGGGTTCGAAAAATTAGATATGATTAAATTAACCACTTAATTTTTTTACAGCTGAAATATTGTACGGTCGAAAACGAAAAATTAAAATTAAAAAAAAACAACATCTATTACTATCAGATACAAGGACAGTTGCATATTACTAAAAGAAAATTGTGTTTTTTCATTGTATACTCTCCTCAATGGATTTCTGTGGAAGAAATAAGTTATGATGATAACTTTTGGACTTCTAATATGGAAGATAAATTACAATCGTAAGTACCACAGTTAAGTATTAATAGTGATTGTAGTCAAAGAATAAAACATATTTTTGAATATAGATTTTACTGGAATTGCTTACTGCCGGAAATCGTGGATCCAGCATTTAAATATCGACTTTTAATTTCTGACATACGAGATCCAAAAACATCTACGGTTAAAACCCCTAAAGCAAAAAAAAAATTGTTCTAATAAAATCAACTATTTTATTAATATTTATTGTAAACTAATTATTTAAATAAAATGTTGTATGTAAATGTAATATTGTAATTTGTTATAACCTAATATTGCATTTTCAAGTACTTTTTATGTAGCAGTGCCGAGGTATTAATTTCGAAAATTATTGCTGAAGTAAATGGGCTTTTGAATTTACATACATTTTGTTTTTTAGTAGAAAGTAATATTTTTTTATCCCAAAAGAATGATTAACAATAACCTATACTAGTTATAGCTTGTTATTAAATTATATTTTACGATTGGTAGTTATATTATATTTCAATAAGTAATAATGCAATAAATACAAATCAAGCTATGTTATAATACGGTTTATACGATCTACATATTGGTACATGTATTTGTGTAAGTAGTGACTTAAATTATAATCATTAGGTTATGGATACGCGTGGAGATATAAAATATTACGGCAAAATTTACGTGTATGAATTATATAATGACGCGAAAGGTCTTAGACGAACGTTCATACAATAATAAACGGCGCTCCCGAACAAAACTCGTTGGCCGGCCGGCGACTGCGAGTAGTGGGCGTGACTTAAACGCCGCGCGCTTGCGGATCGTGAAAACACCTAACAGCGCGTTCTGTTAGCCGATGTATACGTTCCACTTTGGGTATGACGTCCTCTTAAGATTCTGGACATTTTAGTTTGAACTCTTTAATGTGTTTTCGTAATGTATAATTTTTTCTACATTTTTTTTTTGGTTTTCTAAAATGCAATTGCCTGCGGGCGCCAACACTCCCCTTCAATTTTCTTTTTTGGAATTTGACTCTCGTTGAATTTTTTGTATAGACTTGAATATTGTTAACAAGCAGTTGCTCTCTGTATCATCATTGTTTAATGAGTTAATCATTGGCAATATTGTTTTTTCTGTTTTGGATTCTGGACATTTTAGTTTGAACTCTAATGTGTTTTCCTACTGTATTATTTTTTCTAAATTTTTTTTTGGTTTTCTAAAATGTATTTGCCTGCGGGCGCCAACATTCCCCTTCAATTTTTTTTTTGTTTTAAGTTGACTCTCGTGTAATTTTCTGTATAGACTTGAATATTGTTAACAAGCAGTTGCCCTCTGTATCATCATTGTTTAATGAGCTAATCATTGGCAATATTGTTTTTCTGTTTATGATTCTGGACATTTTTTAGTTTTCTAAAATAGCAAAATCACTAAGCACATTAAGCACGGTTAAGACGTTACTGTTCTTTAGTTTTTCCATTAGGATCATTTTTCCGGTAAATCATAAATCATAATATTATATTAATAGTTTTACAACATTTTTTTAAATACAAATTTATGATAACACGGCGCTTTGGATAGGCATTTCAGCTACAACACAGGTCATTGTTTTTGTACACCATTCTTAAACAATATACGTGGTTCAGTGTTTATGTACAACTCTTGTAATCCTTTATAGTTATATCTAAAACCGTGTAAGTAATGCAAAAGCAGATCTCACGGCGTATTGTCGTCAGTTCCAAAGGGAAAAAGTTTCCATTTAGGCTACATTCTATAGGCAACTATAAATAGTTGCCGGTATAAAATGTAGACCGTGTAATTGGAATAATTGGATACAGCCAATAATACATAATAACGAACGCTTTCGAATTGACAAGTTTATTAGACTTGATATCAGGCACGGCGCCAAGGGGGGCAAGGTTTGGCTCTAGCCCCCCCAGAAAACAGATCAGCCCCCTCGCCAGCCCCCCCACTGAAAAATATGTTCGATATAATTAATATTTGTTGTATACAGTTAAAAATATTTGTAGTTGACTTATTATTTTAAATATGTTTATGTTTGATTAACACAATACTATTGTGTATGGAGTTGGTAATCGCACCTACCTACTTATATTAGCTTAGTAATTAGCATGACAAATTTCTTATTTAAAATAATTAAATAATTAATTCAATTTTCTTATTTTCTTATTTTTATAATCTTATTTGTCATGGTAATTACTTCACATATTACTTGATAATTAATAAAAAAGGATTTCTTAAAGTATCTATGTTTTAATGTATACATATATGAACTATTTTAACCTCCAAAATTTAACAAAAAATATAAAGTAGGTACTTCAATAGTCAATACATACACTACTATGCAAATACCAATTTAAAAATGTATTGAATTAAAAATTTAAAATGTACTAGTTAAATATAAGGTAGGTAATCAAAAGTTTTTATTTAAAACAAATTGTATTCCTACTGATATCAGTGCAATTGTATACATTTTTGTTAACTTTTTCAATATTATAAGATTTTCAATCATTTACTGTATGGTGCATAAACAGATATTGTATAAAAAATCAATATTTAGCTCATAAAGAAATTATTATTTTTGTATATCATGTTATCATTATGAATATAGTTGTTGAAGGTCTTAGGTCTGTGATTAAACATTTTCTTACATATTACATAAGGTACAAAAAAATATTTGATATTATTCTTAAAACATTTTTAACTATTCAAAAGTTTGTAAATATTATATGTTTAGACGTTTAGAGCATACAATATAAAACGTATGTACTATTGTACTATATAGCTAGCTGTACTACTAGCTAATAGCTATATTATGTTATATGGTACAAAAATATTTATATCTCATTTAAATAACCTCAGCATTTGTTGAAACAATTTTAGCCCATGTAAAAAAAATATTTGCCCCACTCTGCCCCCCCTGGAAAAAAATTCTAGTGCCGTGCCTGCTTGATATGCAGACAACGGGGCGTGGCTAAGTTTGTGAGAGCTAAGAAGACTTGTTAGCTGTAAAATCATTACATAGTCATTGGAGATCGGCATAATAATATTTCTTTGTCTGTCCATTCCATTTATTTGAACATAACCTAAGCCATATGACTATACAAACCTACTATTTAATTTTTCTAAAAATGTTATATATCTTATATGCTATAAGTTAATAACTTTTACATCATAAATGTTATAACAGGTTGCAACACATAGGTTTCCGAAAAAAAAAAATTTAAAAATTTTCGTGGGCGCTAAACTATATGGATTAGACACTAAATTAAAAAAAATATTTTAGGGTTTTCAGAAATCCTGTTCAAATTATCACTTTTAATTATTTTATATAGTGATACGTATTATTGGTAGGTTATGTTTCTATTTTATGATAGATCAATAGCCAATAGGTTACCTAAATCACATTTTGTTATTTTAATCCCGGTAGTCAAGTTTTTTACAAGTATATACATAGGTAATTTATAATAATTCATATTATAATTTAATTAAGTACCAAAAAAATATAACTTCTCAAACACCGTGTCTAGGGGCACTGGCGGGAGAATGTATTAGAATGTCTATAAACTTGTGGACCTGCTGTTTATGTAGTTATATTTGTCATGCGAACTATAACAGAAATAGAAAATTAGAATATTTACATTACAGTTCACAAAGATTTCTGTAAATGAACATACGATTTATCAATAGACCGTATTATAGGTACTGAGTATAATATATAAGTTCTATGGTATGATACAATTCTACAAAAATAAAGACATAGTTAAAAGGAATAAAACAATTTGTATTTCTGTATAGTTAAGCATGTAGTATAGGCGTATTGGGCACAAGTTTTATTTTAATTTTAAATTGTACCTAGCTTAAATTAAATATTGATATTTACATTTTGTCACATAAGCAGATAAGTGGATTAAAAAATGAAGACATCAAATGCAATTTTTGAAATAGCAAGAATTATCTATTCATATTTTTAATAATTTGACATAGCAACAATTCTCATACATTTAATATAGTGAAAAAATATAAATTATTGCGCTTTTCATTAAATTTTAATTTTTCCATATTATTTCAATAGAAAAAATGTATGTTAATATAATCTAAACATTAACAAAAATATAGATGCAATAATAATTTATAAGCTATTTACCTATTATAAAGTAAAGGTATACTCTGGTTAAATCTTGATGCCCAGCATATATTTCAGTACCTACCCCCTCTTTATCACCTTAATAGAATATTTAGTACATATAATTATTATGTGACTGTAAATATTTTAATTTTTGTTGTATGTGATTGATTACCATAATGTACCCAACCACCCCCCCCCAACCAAAAAATCCACCATGACGCCTAGGCTTCATAAAACCGCATTCACAATGCCACTACTCTTGTTCAATCACGACTTTTTCGAGTTCTCCTCGTTTTCACTTCCTGTAAAACTAAATAACCTAGACAAAAAAAAACCCGTGATTAGAAATGATATTTTTAAGAATTTATTATTATAGAATTACTAAATAATAATTAATATAGTACAAACTTTTTACGAACAGGTCTATTTTGTTCACCGTGACTAGTTTCTGTGTTTTTAGTGGGATAATAATTACTATCATGGTTAGTGTAAATAGCTGCTGATGGAGAAATATTGTTTAATGCATTTAAGTCATTAGCCACAATATCATAATAAGTGTTGTCGACTGAACTAAAAAAAAATAGTATTACAAAATATATTATCATTATTATATCTAAATTGTAATTAAAATAATAAATAAAAACAATTGCAAAATATTTATCTTAAGTACATACTTTAACCAATATGTAGTGGGACTGACAACAATATTCTTCTGGTTTTCATGATGGTTATTGGTTAAAAATTGTAACACGAGTAGGTGAAAATGGAGTATCGAAAAAATTCAGTAGATCCTCAATACTTTCCTTATTTTCAAATACATAATCATCATTAGCACTGTAAAATATACGATTTAATTATTACCAATAGTGTATGTATATTGTATACATATTGAATCAAATAAATGTATGTAAATTAACATGACATAACAAAAATAAAAAATAAAACTATTACATAATTGTAGTGTTAAATAAGCAACACTTACTTTATTAAGATTGATATACTTTTGGTATTATAAATTATTTTCATTTCCATTAAATAAAACATCACTATTACAATTTGATATCTCAACAGGATATGTAGAAATACATTCAACGGGGATGACTTAGTGATATCTTCATTTTCAAATAAATATTTATCGTCATATTTTCTAAAAAAATAATAATTAGTTTATTAAAAAAACATGGAAACTATTCAATTACTAATAAAAAGTAGTATACATTTACACACAAAATTCAAATCAACAAACATGCCCGGTTAACCAATAGCAGCCAATATATTATACACTAGTATTATTTTAATCTGTAACAATAAACTAATTATTTTATTATTAAGTTTATTTTTTCTGGGCACTCTTGTATTTTTGACATCCCTATATCCTACTTTTCTGGTGGATTTTCCTACAATTTTCTTTCATAAGAACACAACAAAAAAAGGCAGACTCTATTCCATCTGCGGGAGAAACGGACACGACTATGCTAGACGGAGAGAACGGACCAGATACGACCATCAGTGCAGTATTACCGAGGAAAAATCCACGTGGTAGGACTATAATTAGGCAGTTGTGCGCCGCCACGTGGAAAGGCGCGAAGCGCGTACTGCTCTGCGGTTGTTTCCGGAGGTCGTGAAGCCAGCGGCATAGAAACCTATAACTCCCCCCCCCAGATGAAGACACGACGGCGGCGACGGGGGAGTGGTACGTGAAAGAGCACTGTACGGTGCCCGGCGGTAAGTCAACGCCTATACGTTTTCCAGCCACCCGCAGAAAGACGAGATCGCTGTCTCCCACGTCCGAGAGCTCGCGGTTGCCGACACGCGAGACCATCAAGACGACTCGGCGAGGGCCCGAATGCTCCGGTCACACCAGGAGCAGATGGACCGCGACGACGACGTCGGTGGCTAGCTGTACCGGCGCGGGCAACGATACCGCCCCGACGATACCACGCGACGATGCAAAGTGCACGAGGGTGACTCGCAAAGGCGACGGCGGCGGAGACCGCAAAACACAACGGGCGAGCGGATACAGCTGCAGCGCTAGAGGAACACGGAAGTCAGCATCGCCGGACTCGTGGAAACTGATAACGTTTCGGGGTCCGGCGATGTGCGACTCCAGGACGGCCACCGGACGGTGACTCGGTCGAGTCAGGGCGAAAATCGCTTGGAGAGGATCAGCACATTTGCGGCGTGCTTTGCCGTGAGGTCCGACGATCCTCTCACTGCGTTTTCGCCCGGTGGCAATCGGTCGGGTCACGTCTCCGGTCGCCGGCCGATTCCGTAGCGCCGACGCAGCTGCCTCTGCTCGCTCAGTTTTTTAGGTTTCCGTCGCCACTCGTCGGTCGTCTTCAGTACCTGCGCGTCGTCGATGCGCACAACGTCGAGCACTAGCCGCTCGCCATCAAATCGCCTCATCGCTCCCGTAGCCGTCGCGGTCGGGACTTCGCCAGCCGTCGTGATGGTCGTCACCCGCGAGCGAACGCACTGGCGACTGCACTCGTCCGCCTGCGGGATGTGCCGCGAAAACGTATAGAGGTGACCAGTAGCCAGCATATTGCTTTATGCACCTCGCCATCACGTACCGATCCCTCCTGCTTATTGTGTCTTGTCTGGTGTTTCCCCCCCCCCCATTAGGCCACTTTGTGCCAATTATACATCGAAAATCATATAAAATTACAAAAAAAATAAAAGAAGATATCAAAAAAAAAAAAGTGGGCAAGTGGGTGTCGCTCTGCTGTACAGTAGGTTACAAGTGGGTCACTATATAATTGATGATATTCAATTTGAATTCAACGATATAATATCATTGTATATGAAAAACGATTCTGAGCGGAGACGGTATGTCAGTCTAGGTATAAGACAAATTATATACATATCTATGGTATTAAAAAAAAATTGACCTATAATAAATTCCAAATTAATCATATCACATTATCACAATATCCATTAGGTACTTATAACACGTTATACATCAACATCAATAACAAACCCTGATACTATCATAGAATATAGATATATAATAGTACACTTTAGAAGTTTCAAGTAGGTACCCACGAATAATATTATATAATCACAACAAAATAACTAGGTTTTTTAATATATGCATTATATAAATTTAAGAGTGCAGATCTTCAAGGACCAGGATGATGTAGATGTGAATTTGAAAGTAACAACATATACTGATATACCTAGTTCAGACTTCAGACATTTAGTTGTACATGAGTATTGAGTTATGGAAATTGGATTCATTAATTTTTGGATATTGAAAATAGCTTTATGATAAACATTAGTAAAACCCTAATAAATGTATTTTCTATCTAATACTTGTATTTTATCTTAAATGTAATTAAATAAGATTTTATATTTAACTTATGATTAAGGGGCCTGGTCGCGATTTTTCAAATTTTCCGCAATTCTATAAAATTTGAAAATTAAATTTTATATTTTAGTTGCCACCTCAATTATAAGACTTTTCCACTAATCTACTACCCAATACCTATTTAGGGGGGGTTTATAGGGTGTATTATATCGGTCAAAACACAGTTTACAGGAAAAACTCTCACACCTCGTAGATTGGTCCGGTTTCCGTAATTTTTTTTTTTTGTTAGATAGAAGAATATTTTTTACAGGACGCATTGGACTTGATTTTTGATAACGTTGCTAAAAATAAATAATAATACAAAAACTAAAAAGTTGTAAAAATGGATTAAATTCAAACTTGTAATATAAGATTTCGAAAAATAATTTTGAAAATCCAAGTCCAATGCGCCCTGCAATACGTCTTTCTCTATTTAACAAAAAAAAATTACGGAAATCGGACCAATCTACAAGGCGTGAGAGTTTTTCCTGTAAGGCATGTTTTTGAGCAAAAAAACAGGTCGCGACCAGGCCCCTTAACTATGAAAAAAACTATTAAAAAAAAATTATAAAATATAAAAATCATACCTATCAATGACTGGCCTGAGCCTGATGAGTAGCTGCTAATGTGGCGATGTCTGGTTCGATATTGGTCAAAGCTAAACGTAGATCACCTTTGTTACAAATGTCCAACCGATTTCTTTGTTTCGTCAAAAGCTGAACAACAACGCTGAATCCTTTTTCAACTTGCAAGGTACAGTATACAATAGTCCAGTTATGGTTGAAAATGTAAAAATAAATTTTTTATAAACAAGACGTTCCCGATACGTAAAATGCGATTAGATAACATTCCGTATGTCGTTGTATCGTACGAAATTACAACTATTCTGATTTCACGTTCAATTATTTGTAGTGTTGTTATATAAATATAATATTAATAAATTGTATTATTTTTAATCTCCGAGTTTGAAAAAGCTCACCGCCCCCTCAACGCCCCCTTCAAAACTATCATCCCCCATAGAGACCGAAATGCCCCCAAGGGGGCGGTAGCGCCCCCGTTAAGAACCACTGACCTAATAACACATACATAAGTATATATAGTTTAATGTTACTACTTTGTGTCTTACTAGTTACTATGTTAAGACTCATAATCTAAATACCACTGCCTAATAAATAACTAAGTACACAATATGATTGGAAATTGATGTCATTATATTATACATTTTACATTTATATTCACTTGATTTATTCTGTGATATAATATTAAAAATTTAAATATTTTTAAATTCGGCGGCCAGTGATAATGTAATTTGCTGTTTATTTTAAGCTAAACTGATATGATATTTTTCATCCATGATTGTGATATAAACCGTTTTTATTTACTGTCTGGCACGGACTAAGATATACAGGACTGGACACGACAAGGTTGGAGGGTGTGGGGGGGTTGACTACGAAATGTTTTACAACAGGCAGTGTTCGGGGGGATATTTTCCTTTTAGCATTACTAGCGCCGTCCTAGTGGATACTTATGGAACTAGAACACATCATACAAATTTCTAGTTCCATAAGTATCCACTAAGACGGCGCTAGTAATGCTAAAAGGAAAATATCCCCCCGAACTCCGCCTGTTGTAAAACATTTCGTAACCACAATATTCATCTCGTGTCCAGTCCTGTATATCTTAGTCCGTCGTGCTGTCTGGTATAAACATATTCTCGATGGGTATATTGTATATATAACATTACGATAATAATTGTCTATTCGTCTCGTGAGTAGCGAATCTCACTTTTTATTGTGTACGGTTTTGATGCACTGATAATATATATCGATAATAAATGTGTATAAGTACAAACTATATTTTATTAATTTAATACTTGTAATGTACGCAGTCTACAATATTATTATATATTATAATATTTTAACTTATGACATTTTAGCTCTACTTACAACTTAAATACTTATCACGAATTCACGAATCACGCCGAAAAATCTTTAGTTTTCTAATTTCTTTAAATGCTGTTTACTTTTTTCAAATGTCATCGAATTGATTTGATATACATGGTATACATGCAATAATTAGTGAGTCTTGTATGTATGTATGTATGTGTCGCGTAGATGTCAAGTTAATGAATTCACCACAAAACCTGTTTCGTGAATAGAAGAAATTTTAAAATAATTAAAAGTTTCAAAATGCACATTTAAATATGATATACCACCGATCTAATGAATTAATTTATGTTTGTATATTTGCCGTTTCACTATATTCAATTCCATGTAAGTACCTACCTGTCTTAAAAAAATATTAATCATATTGTCTACTGTGTCTGTAAAAACTGATACTTAGAATTAGGATTAACTGTTTTCTGAATACAGTCATATAACGGATTTTAATTCTTCTAATATTTTAAAAATGTTAAAAGATCATAATTTTTTGATTTATGAGTAAGATTATAATAATAATGAGTAAATTAGAAATTAGTATTAAAGTTTTTATTTTATTTCAGATACAAATGGGATAAATAATAATTATATTAAAATGTTTCCTAAAATTGGTGAAAATGTTACACTAAAATGTGGCAGCAATAATATAAAAAATTCTAATGTGTTGTGGCAAATGGATCATAAAGAATTACCTGGTCAAGCTAAAGTTATGGAAAATGGAGATCTATTCATATCATCATTTGATACATCTGATGCTGGTATCTATATTTGTGATTTAGCGGCTGCTAGTGGCTATATTGGACATGCTCCACTGACTCAATTTGAACTGAAACTAAAAAGTAAGTAAAATAGTAAATTTTATTTTTGAATTTACTGAACAGCATTTAAATTATTTCAGGTGTACCTGGATCCTTGATAGGTGTAAGAGTTATACCTAACACCGTATTAATGCTCATCACATGGAGAGAAATAGAAAACAATGATGGATCTCCTGTTAAGAATATAACCATTAGGTATAGAATTATAGATGATAGAATTTCAAGAGATGATTGGAGTATTCTCCAAGTAAATCCATTTAAGGTAAACCCGTTTGTGGTTAGAACACTTTCTTATTTTGATACCATAAATAAATTATTTAATAATTATTATTTTTTAAACATTGATTTCAACATTAGATAATTGATCGATTTTTGCACAATTATTACTTTTTAGTCAATTTTGGAAATTAATTAAGACTATTATGTAATATATAATTGGGTAGTATAAATACTAATATGTGAATTTTATTAAAAAATGGAAAAAAAGGTTTTTTTAAAATTAATCTACTCTGAGAGAAAGCATCTGTTTTTAAATTTTTTTATTTTAAAATAACTTATTATGCATAGTTTATATATTTTTATACAATTAACTAGACTGTCTGGTTACAACTAAATGCTATTTAGAGTATATTATAATAGGAGGAAATATATAACTTTGTATTATTTAATTAAATATAAATATTTAATTATAGATGTAAAAGTAAAACCTCAAACTATCGATAAAATAAAATGTAAAACTGGATGGCACAAAATATGTTTTTTTTTTTAGTTTTATGGACAACCTAGGAAAATTACACGGCTCGTACTAAATAGACATTTGTCTATATAAATAAAAACTTAAAATGATACAGCCAATAAATTATTATTAAATATTTTATAATTCATAGTTTTTTATTTTTAATAGATTCATAAAGAAATTTATTCGTTACTTCCAAATACTTTATATAAAATTCAAATTTGGGCCACCAATGAAATAGGTGATGGGCCCAAAACCGAACTAACCACTAAAACATTAAGCGATATGACAGAATCTGGTAATATGCTGTTATAATTATTTATATTATTATTATTATAGATAAATAGCTTTGATAATTTGGTATTGGACATTATATTTTATAAATTAACATTTGACTTAAGAAAAATTATTTATATTTTGTAAACCCTTAGAAATGTTCTAATTGATAATCTTAATCAAATTATATAAATACTCTGATATAATCTATTATTAATTATGCTATTGCCTACTGAGATTGTGCTTATTAAAACCATATTAATAAATTGGAGACCACATTAAATTCAGTAATTAAATATCTATTTTATAAACCAAGACTTTATTCTACATCTTTAGAATTAAAAATATTCAACATTATTTCTCTTCATGTATTGCATGTATGTATATTAATGTTTGAATATAAATATAATATTATTATATTTATAAATATTATTATCATTATTTTTATATTCTATGGTTTTAGAGTTGGAAAAACACCTATTGGAAGGCATTGATACATTTGATACCAGAGCATGGACATTTGCAGTAATTGTGATCATGAGTACATTTAGTATATTTTTAATAGCGTTGTGTTGTTTATTTGTCAAGGATCCTAGAGTACAGAAAAGTAAGTAAAATTAACTTAAAATATAGTTAGGTTAAACATTTTTGAATTAATTTAATAAACAATTAATAAATTGAAACTTATTTCTTTGACATAAAAAAATCAATACAATCAAAGTTTCATTTTTCAAGTAAACAAGTTACACACTATTGTGTTATTCAGTTCATTTTGAATTTAGAGGTGTATGGAATTGGGTATCATTGGGACCCAAACAGTGCTTTAGACAAGAATTTGAAATCGGAGCGGAGAGGGGTATCATAGTAAAACAGAATACTTAGAAAAAAATAAATAAATAGATAGAAAATAAATTTAAAAATAAATAGAAAAATTTAAATATAAATTAATAATTTAATTAAACATTAAAAATTGGCAGGGTATTGATAAACATAATTTTAAATAAACCCACAGTAGACCTACTAATAATTTGTATTAAGGCTGTATCAGTATCAATGAACTACATCAAATCTAATAAAATATATGGTTAATTTCAATTTTGTTTCTAAAATATTGGTATTATAATTTTCCCCAGAAACCTCAAATCTTACATGATAATATTATGACTTATTAGTTATTACACTAATGTAACACATTAACAAGTGTTTAATCTGTGTATTTCTAGTTTTACACAATTTTGAATTAATTGTCATGTATAAAACATCCCTCTCAAAATGTATTTAATATTTATTTTATGTAATTATCTAACTAAGTGTTATTTGTTTCTAATTAGGATTGGAAAACAATGATGATGTTGAACGAATTGAATTAATACCAAATATTACTATAAATCCTGGTTATTGTGAAACATAGCTAAGATTTGAATACACAGACACTAATTTTTGAGTCTGTGTGTAATCGAGTTGCTGTAGGTTATTTAGCTCGGTAATTTTTTTGTTTTTTTAATTTTAACATTTTGTTTGATTTTTGTATCATATACATTGTATATTATACAAGTTATAATTAGATATTCACTATTTTCAAGGTGTTTTTAAGATAATATTACTATCTAAAACATAGATTAATTTTGGGTTGCACAAAACATTTAATGAATCATTTGTGAGCTAATGGTCCCTCAAACAAGATTTAGTGGTCCATTACATTTCATAAACTGTTTATGTAACCCAGCATAAATATATTAGTACATTAATTATTAAATATTAAAATATTTTACATTTTAATCTATGTCCAAATTGATATATCATACTTATTTTGTTTTGTATTTCTTATCAATTGTACATTTTTTTATTTAGAAATTAGGTTATATTTGTGCTAAAAGTATCAAGTTATCTTATCTGGGATTTGATTTAGTACAAATTCTAAGTCATTCAATTTAATTAATGTCATGTTGATCTTATAGTATTTTTTAAGAGGTGCTTTTAAGTGTAGGGTGCTTACTAAAACATAACAAAATAGTTAACAAGACATATTATGTAGATATAGATTAAATTATATTTTGATGGGCAACACAATATTAATTATTTCATATTATATTTATCCACAGGGTTAATTAATTTCATTTTTAAGTAATATTTATATTAAACAACTATTAAGATTTTCTATAGTTTAAAAATATACATAATATATAATATGATTATTTTTAAACATTTCAAGTTGTTGAGTGACTACAAAATTAATTTCATTTTTAACTGAAAAACAATTTATATTTTTATTAATTACTACCCTATTTGAATTGTTTAATCTAATCTATCTTAATATTTCATTACTACTTATACAGTATACAAAATATATCTGTATATTAATGTATAACTACTACTGTATAATAATCTTATAATAGTAAATTTTTACCCTCACTAAATTCATATTTATGTCGATATATCAAATGACATGCCAATTCCAAAAATTTCTGATAACTCATCATGATTTTATATTCAAATTCTAAACCTATTATTCACTAAGAGATTTGTATAATATCATGAGTTTGTTTTAATTTGAAATGCTTCTTTTACAATCGTGTATAGAGGATTGAACTTGTGAATGCTTCCTTTTTTTTTTATATAAATTTGGCTAACGAAAAATTACTAGTCATTTTACACGACAAAACGAGGTTGTTATTACCTTAATTATAAGACTGCACGCTTTGATTTCCATGCTGCCTTGCATTTGTTGTTTTATTCTAATGCACAACGGTAGCGATTGGTTTTATTGTGTGATTTAGGTTATATGTTTGATGTTGTATCTTCACTATCTTATTGTTAGCATAAATTTATATATAATGTATTTAATGTATTTTAATATATTCATCACATGGTTAATTTAATCATAATAATAAAACATAGACATAATTATTATATATATTCATATTAATTACAAATATATAGCAACAATATTATTCTAAAATAATTTACTTTTTGAAGTATAACACATATTTAAATAATTAAAGCATGATATAGATCAGTGTAACTGTGTTAGATGTGTTTTAAATATGCAATCATATCAATTTTTGTAAATTAAAAGACTAGACACATTATATTAGAAAAAATTATACAAATTTAACCAAACATAATCATATATTTTTAATGAAAAAATATTTAGTTTTTCTTATAGAGAAACAATATACTTTTAACTTTAAAATAATGACCCAGTATTTTAAGCAAATTATGTTCACTTTTTAATCAATTACTTTGTTTATGTGTTTAATTTTGTTTTTTGTTATTATTTTGTTATTATTTCATTATCTTCCAATACTTTACATTTTATAATTACAATAAATGTTCCAGTTACATTTTTTATTTATTGTTACCTAACTTTTATTTTACCAGACAAAAATAATATCATGATATAAATGTATTAAATGTAAATGTGCTAAACCTTACACCAGTAAATGTAATATGTGTCTGAACATAACATTAAATAAATAGTTAAATTTAGGGTATTTAATGGTAGATTGAATCACTGTCGATTGGTGTATGACCTTATTTCACAGTAATCAAATAGTAGTAAATATTTTTTAAAACAACGGTGCTACACCAAAATAACCATTCGCTACATTTATCATTCTTCTTTGTAATGTTTGGGAAAAAACTTTTGAGCATATAAAATTGACTTGAATTCAAAATAAAAATATTTCAGGGTACAATACATTTTATTTATGTGAATTTGTATGGTTTATTTTTGACATGTATATTTTTTTTTCTTAACGGTTGTATTACATTGATTATTGTCAAGTTAATCCATAGGATATATTCAGGTGCTTTATTTTTTTTTAATCTAAAATGTAACTAGATATTAATTTTACTATTAATAATTATTTTAAGTCTGCTATAGTGATTTTTGTGAAGTATTTTGATCTTGTGTTAATTTTGTAAGTTTTTTTTTTAAATAAACCAAAATTTTTAAAAATATATTTTATTGTTTATTTAGTATAATCTTTAATTTACATAATACCAAAAAAAAAAATCAGTGTGTTATAGACTTATATTTTATAGTTATAATAATTGGATTTTATATTAGATTACATCGATGATGTATAAAATATAGATTATTATAAGTAATGTATTATACGTATAATACATAGTATAATACACAAATTATACATTTATGTATAACACGTGCCAACCCTGTGTTATATTGAACAATATCTGTTCTGAAATATTTTCTCGGTTTTCATAAAACTAGATATAATCTTAAAAAGTGTCAAACTGTTTATTAACAATTATGCATTATTGTGTTCTAGTTATATAACAAAGAAGTTAAAGACAATATAAACAATTGCAATCCTGAGTTTGCTATTCCCTAGAGTTTACCTTAAGCATTGCTAAAATCAATGTTTTTATTCTTTCACGTGTATGTGTAATATTCAAGACAATCTTGTTACACTACACTTGATTAATTTTACAATCTAGAAAATGTATACCAAAGGTTTATCAATTCACAAGCTAAGATTGGTACTGTAAATATATTGTGGGTTGTAAATTGTAATGAAGGTCATACATAATAGTGTTTTGCTCTACTATCAATTAATGTACTTTCAAATAGTAATAAAAGTAGTACAAATACCTTGAATATAATAAATATACATTTTATTAAAATAAATTATACCACAAATAGAATAATTGAATCATAAGACACTTTAACGATTATCAAACATATTCAATAAGCTGTTTACAATTTCTTCTTGTTTAGATGTGAGTTGTTTGGTTTTCAACATATTATGCAAATGGTTATGTGTTGCAGCTAACATTTCAGAATAATTTGGAATATCGTTAGAATTACAAAATTTTTCCATCTCATTCTGGATTACGTGTAGCCGAGAGTCAAACAAATATGTTAAACCACTAATGTCTGAAGGCTCAAGCAAATTACACAAATTGCAAAACGATGCACAAAGCTAGAAAATCAAACAAGTTATTTAGATAATGTTGTGTTCGGTGTGTGCTGATTGGAAAAATAAAGTAAAATCCCATTAAGAGCATGCTTCACCTGCCTGCATTGTCTCTGTGACTCTGTCTTACAAACACATGTCAGTGATGAGTAAATTATACTTTCTAAATAATCCATAAAACTCTAGTGTTCCTAATAAGCAGCGTCTACTGAATTTTAAAATGATCATCTGGCTTTACATAAAAATATTTAAAAAAAGGTGGGCAAGTGGGTGTCGCTCTGCTGTACAGTAGGTTACAAAAGGGTCACTGTATAATGGATGATATTAAATTTGAATTCAACAATATAATATCATTGTATAAGAAAAACGATTCTGAGCGGAGACGGTATGTCAGTCTAGGTATAAGACATATTATATACATATCTATGGTACTAAACCAAAATTTGACCTATAATAAATTCCAAATTAATCATATCACAATATCCATTAGGTTCTTATAACGCGTTATACATCAACAAAAACCGTGATACTATCATAGATATATAATAGTACACACTAGAAGTTTCAAGTACCCACGTATAATATTATTCAATCACAACAAAATAACTAAAATAGTTATTCTAGGTTTTTTAATATGTAATTTCGTCCAAATTTGAATTTAAAATGTCTGTAAAAAATAACTGTGTTCATATATTTTTTTAGATTTTTTGGTTACAGTATGAACTATTTATGAGAACCTTTGTTTTAAATTTGCAATCTTTAGCTATAAAAACTGAACATTTTATAATTTATTAATTACAATGATTGATCATTTTCGAGATTTTGATAAATTTTGTCAAAATTCGATGTTTAAATGCTTATAAAAAAAATTGTGACTATGTATTTTCAATATTTTTCAATTGCTACTGTAACAATATATCAGTAACCTTGTATTAAATTTTTACACTTTTTGGACCAACAGATAAAACTTTATTGATATTTATAGAAAAAAAAAAACTAAAAAAAATTGAAAGCGGTAAATGTCCGTAAATAGCTCAAAAAGAGTCAAAATATTTTATTGTATGGTGTATAGGAAATGCTAATTTAAACATTAAGTGAAATTTACATGTATCTACAGTTATTCGTTTTTGAATTGCAACAAAATAAGGAAATCGCTACATGAGAAATCAAGTGAATATCCAATGTTGTAAAAATTTGAATTTCAAACGCTCATAAAAATTTAATTTGACTTTCTTATAGACATTTTTTTTGTGATAAAGGTAGATAATTTTATAAGGAATCTTGTATTACATTTTCAAATCTTGGATTTAAAAAGAAAAATTTTTACGAATTCTTAACTCAAAATAATTTGCTAATTTTCGTGATTTTTCCATATTTTGTCAATTTTTGAACTTTAAATGCTTATAAAAAAAAATTATGACTAAGGATTTTTAATATTTTTCATCTGCCTTTGAAACAATATACTAGGAGCGTTCTATTAAATTTTCAAGCTTTCGCAACCAACAAATAAAGTTTTATTGATATATTTAGAAAAAAAACAAAAAAAAAATGGAAAATGAAAATGTCCCTAAACAGTTCAAAATAAATCAAAATATTTTGAAAATGTTATCGTGTATATAAAATGCAAATATAAACAACCAGTGGAAGTTTCATGTATATACGTTCATTTCTTTTAGAGTTACACCAAAAACCAAAATCTATTTTTTGGAAAACCGATTTTGCGTAAAAATTCCCGTTTTTCCTTAATTTTTATGTTGTTTTTCCCGGTGCTTGTGAAAACTACTGGGAAATTTTTACTTTTGACCCCCCAAAGTACCAACTAGATTCACTTTCCTATCAGAAAAGCTACTGTTGAAGAAAATCCAAGCACTTTTACTGTCCTAAAACGTGATGACAGGCACAAAAAAAAATTAAAAAAACACACATCATTGTAAAATCAATACATTCATCGTTTCACTCAGAATCTAAAATCTATGATATTCACTAGATAATATTCATACTTCCAAATTCTATAATAGGTCAATTCACTCTAATATTAAATATAACAGAGTTAAATGGATTATTCAAATATTTACAATTTGCCATGTTATGGGTTATGTTAAGACGGAGAAACTCATACAGGCGGGTGTAGTGTCCTCTTAATACTTTAAATGTACAATAAATTAAATTTTATAGTTATTTAAAATATCTAATAACTTCAAAGCAATTGCCCATTAGGCATTAGGTAATATCACTTTTCAAGCAGACATGTATTAGGCATTCAATTCCGGTGGTATTTTCGTGTCTCGAATACGCTGCCGCACAAAATATTGATAATAACATGAACCCCGTAACATAAAACCTCGTTTTCAACACAAAAATGGTGGAAACTTATAACCAATTCCATTCTTTTTTTATACATTTAAACTCGGTGGCCATACCAAATTGTACAGTTAAAAACCACCAGTCGAGCATTCTAGACTTTTTTAAATACCTAGAACTCAGCAGACTTTCTTCCGGTATTGAACACGTTAATGGGGTGTTACTGTATTTATTTTGCACAAACCTGATTTATGAGTTTTTGTTGATGCTTGTATTCACAAATATGAGGTAAATTTTGTGCATTTTCAAAAGCATCAAACAGCCTGTGCCACATTTTAGAGTAATTATTACCATATAAGTCTCGACGATTATACATTAAAGATGAACAAGCCACATGCCTGACTTTAAAGTTACAGCAGTTTATAATTAATGTAGATAATGTATTGAACACATTGTTCTGAAAATGCAATTTTAAACAATTAATGCCGCACAATGTCGCACATTTGAATTTTTACATCTATATTTTTTACCTTTAACGTTTCTGGTAACTTTTGAATCGAGTTGGTTTGGTAGAGGACGCCTAGAGAATTACAGCTATTCCAACGATTCTATAACAGAATACAATTTTTGAAATTTAATTTAAAATGACCACTTGCGATAAATTTGTTATCTACTAACTTTCATACTATCATTTCCATTGGCAATATTAATTAAGATATTTATGGAGTCTTCATATAAAGGGCCAAATTGCTGTCCGGTAACATCAGTGTGGTCAATTAATGACAGTAAGAGACCTAATGCCCTAGTACCACAAGCTCTACACTAAATATTAAAATAGATCAAACAATAATTTTCAATACCTAATTATATAAATGTTATATTATGTTACAATGTGTAAGCATTGATTACCGGTTTACGATCAAGTGTTGATAGTGCCGCTTTGGCCAGGCATAATAATTTTTCATCTTCAATTTCATACAAATCCCTAAAATTTGAAAATAATATATTAAATTGATAGTAGAGATCATGAACTAATTTTGTTCTTATTTATTGAACAACAGATTCTGAAGGAAGAGATATAAATTCTAGAATTTAGACAATAATAATAACCAGCCCAAAATTGAAGAAAGATAATCAAAAGAAAGTAGTAATTGCCCATTAACCCTTACAAATTTATTATAGGTGCTAGATCAAATATTAATCATTTATTTAAACTTTAACATCCATGATATTTAAAGCGTATAATAAATTATAATCGCAATTGTTAAATTATTTATTAGATAGATTTAATAGATGCTTACCAATTGTCTACTAAGATTTCAGATAAGCAGTTTAATGTCCATGCTAGTTTTTCTTGAACTGAATTTACTTTATTTACTGATGAAACATAAAGCAAACCATCAATAGTGTGTCTTATATAAATCGGATTCTATAAAATTGTTTTAGTTAAATTATAAATACCTAGGTACTAAAAGTAATATTTTTTAAAAATAAAAATATGTCATATTGTTTTTAACTTACTTTTGATAGTTTTTCATACTTGATTAGTGTACCTAATGTTGCTATTGCAGCTGATTGGATATTTTGATCTTCACAGGCAACAAACATATGTAATTCATCACAGTACGAATCAATTAATTCATCCTATATAAGTAATATTTTGTTAAATTAATTTAATTATATTTTATCAAAAACTTAAAAATAAATTGTTTATATATTAATACTTCAAGTTCATTAAATAAATCTGATCCAATTGTTGATAGGCTTTCAATAAGAATGGGCAGTGTTTGTGGATCTTTTTCTTCAAACATTTGTGGTATTAATTTTCGAAATATCAACTTCCATTTCTCCAACCTAGCAGATTTATAATCATCCCCTAATATATAAATTATATAAATTATACATTCTATTTAAATGACTAATTTATCTTATTGTAATAAGAAAAACAATAGATAAATAAGCAAAATTGACTAATGTACACACCAGTGGCCAGGACGCTACTAGTTTTTTGTAGCGCGCTATTGCTACTTTTTATTAAATGTAGCACTACTTTTTTCGCTATATTTATAAAAATTTTCTTATTGAAAACTAGTGTTTGTAGTTTGTTATCATTTGACATTTGGTCATTGGACAGGCCCCAGGACAAAAACTTCACTAATACACTCATCATTATCATAATATAAATAAACAAATATAATCATAATATTTTAATAATCACCAATTAGATTGTAGGTAGCAACAAAATAATGATAATTTTCGCTACGCTAACCAGAAATGTTTAGTGCGCTATAGTATTTTGCTATCTAAGGTGTAATGTAGTAACGCTACGTCAATCGCTACAAATAAAGTAGCGTCGCTACAATTAGCGTGCTACTCCCGACCACTGGTATACACCCTACAGCAGGGGTCGCCAACCAGTCGATCACGATCGGCTGGTCAATCTTTATAGAAATATAGGTCGATAGTTATAAAAATTAATTTTACCATTATCGATCGATTGTGTAATAAATAATCGGATAATATGGATTGCATAATATTGTATTCTAGGAGTTTACCATTATCGTTATAGTCAGAATTTTTTTTTTTATTTGAAAACAATAGCCTCGGCGACTAAAGGCCATTGACTACAATAAATAGGTAGTCAGAATTATTGTTAGTTATAACTCGACTGTCAATTATTTGTCACGTGGAAGTGTGCAAAGCGTATATGTTCCGTATATTTTTGTTATTACGTTCCAAATTTATTTAGAATTTACAACAAATAAAATGATTTTTTTTTTTTTTGCTCATAAAACAAATCTCTTCCTAAAGACCTAAATTCTCCTGAATGTCGATCACCTGGGACTAAAAATTTCAAATGTAGCTCACTTGTTTGAAAAGGTTGGCGACCCCTACCCTACAGTATACTTTACTATTTACCTTCGGACACCGCAGACATTTGTTTTAAGCATGACAAAATATTTTTACGCAATAAAGTTTGTTTAGTAAATTTCATGTCTTCGATTGCAATATTAATTAACATTCTATTTTCAATCAAACCATGATAATGATAACAGTAGCTATTTAATATTTGCCAACATTGACGTCTTACAATCATCTGTGTATTGTCTTGGTCACTTTCTAGAAATAACTTAGTTTCCTGCAGACAGAAAAAAAATAAAAATTAGAAAATCAATTATTCAAATAAACTTAGATCATTGATTTTCTTAAATAATTAATCAGGGGTAGATAAAATTGTAGTATAAAACAAAAATTGAAAAATGTACAACCCTTTCTAGAACATTTATTTTTGATGACTTAAATAAATTTATACATACAGTTTTTTTTATAAGATCATAAAAATTAAAAACATATAGAGAATAGTATAGTTGGAATGTTTACTTACTTTAAATAAATATAAACATAAATTTACAATTTCTGTTCTTTTTTCTATCAATAATTCTTTTTCAAATTCTGGAAGTTCTGAATTGAAAACAGAGGATAGACAGCGGAAGACCCCTATTCTTAGATAATTGTCTATAAGTAAATACAAGTATTAATTAATAAAACAAAAATAATAAAAGTATATACTTTATTATAACACTAACCACATGGTTCACATTTAGTATAAACTAGTATAGCTTCTAATACTGATTTAAGAAGACTTTTATTCAACCTTGTATATGGGGTATTAGAAATCACAGTAGAAAAACAATGTAAAAGTACAAGACGGACACTATGCGTTTCCATACTAAAATCTTTTAACAATGTATTATGTATTGTAATCATATAATCAGCAAGAGTTTCAGACCATGTTGTAAATGCACCCTTTTTCTCTCTTAAAAATATTAAAATTAGCAACATATTATCAAGAATATGAAAAATGAACTATTTACCTATACTGAGCTTGCGCAAAAAATATTTTTGATCCATTAAAAATAGATGTGATAGCAGTTATAATAGTTGCGCGTACTCTAGAAGAAGGTTCTCGTACTGAATTTCCTACATCGGAAATCAAACAATTTTGAATGTTCATGGGACCATCAACAATTGTGTACAAATACCCTAACAACATTTTTTTCTCAACTATCTGAAATCAAGTTAAGTATAACTACAATAATAGCTCTATAATTTATAAGTATATAAACATTTAAAACTTACTGTAAACATTTTTTTCATTATTTGAGCCGCCAACAACCGTATATCTAATGTTATATGTCCAATCATATTAGATGTACATGGTTCATCTTCAGAAAAATCTGAATCCCTTACGTCCATCAACACTTCATTATCTACTGAAATAGTAACAAATTTTGGTACTTTATTTTTGGATTCTGTAATTCTCTTTTTTTTTTGACGTCGTTTATTCGTCATATTAATCTAGAAATAAGAATTTTTACTATCTTGAATCTTTTTATCACACTATAAAAAATTGATTTTTTAAACATTTTAAACTGAATTCACCGTAGGTACTATATCTAGTCTTGATGGATTTTCCCATTGTACGATAGGAGAGGGTTGCAAATCTTTAAGAAATTTTGATTGATCAAAAATCAAACCATACCTTAAATATACCAAAACAATTGGTAGCAATTTGTTAAAATTATCATGAGTCCATTGTTTAGACTGATCGACAAGTTGTGACAAAATTTGTAATCCATATTTTAAAACCTAAAATTATTATAGTTATATTTAAATATTCTTGCATTTAAAATAGCAAGTATTTTATAATACAATTTGTTTCATTTATTGATATTATTTGTTTCTGAATCTAGATAAATATTATAATTTCTTATTATTAATAGGAAACATACTTCTTGACCATATGATTGCATATAATTCTTTTGATTTATTGACTGTTCCATAAATGTAATTATGTAGATTCCAATAGTATTGATGTAATCATAATCTTTCATAATAACTACAGTTGCTTCAAGAAACATTATGTATGTTAATACGTCAATATTTGTCTGTGGATCTTCAGATTTGTTTTCAATTTTTTCTAATACTTGAAGTAATAAAGCCATTACACTAGAAATGATCTAAAATGGGTAATTTGTGTTTACATTTTTTTAGAATCAAATTAGTTTTAATCGAAACTTTAGATGATTTTGTCCAATGTAAAGAATTGCTTACTTTATTATTGTTAATGTTTAAGTTTCTAAATGTTTGAATAGTACAGACATAAAAATTTAGAATTTCATTGATTTGTTCTGAATGTTGTACACGGGCTTTAAAATGGAAGATACTTGATAGTGTCCAAGAAATTGTATTTTTTAAGAGATTTTCTTCGCCAATGCCGAGTTTTGGTAATACTTTGCACAACAATTTACAGCATTTAACAACTAGATTGGTATCTATAGGACTAATCTCTAGGCATACTTGAAATAAACATAGGATGTCATCCTGTAAAAAAAAAAAATCCAAGAAATATATATTTTAGTAGAATGCATAGTTTAAAATTAATAAAATAGGGAAACAGACATTTTCCACATGTAAAATATAAATTACTTATCCAAATAACCACACATTTACTAGCTTTCCATTTTCATTATTATTAAGCCATTAAAATAAAATTATTTAGTGGTCTATTTTGACCAAACTTTATGCACTTTATGATACTGTAATTAATATTGTAGTATAAGCATAGGAGCATTTTTTTTGGGGGGGGGAGCTGGCTTGGAGATGATTAGCATCCCCTGTTTTGAAATTAGTACCCTCATAATTTATGCCGTTTATGGACAAACTTAGAAAAATAAGGGGCTGCAGTGTAGTGACGGTAGTCAGTTATTTCATTGAAATTATATATAGCAAGTGTACACTAAAATGCTGATAGAAATGTTTGATGCTTGTTGGCATTTTCAATTTAATTTATATACAATACAGACGTACAGTGATATAGCCAGGGTTTCATGAATTCCATTAACATTTATAAATGTTTTCTGTGTTCTGTGAATTATTTAGTAAGTTAGTAAGATATAACCATATATTAAAATTGTAATTTTAATTTAGATTACTGCAAAAGCCTAAACTGTTACCAACCCAGCATACTAAACCTATGTGGGATCCTAGTTAAACTTCCCTTAGATAACAAATATTAGCATCCCCAACACAAGGCAAAATTCTGGCTGCAACCACTAATACATTAGGATTAGGTTAACAATAAACGATACATGTGGATTTATAATAACTAGGGTTCGGATTTGAAGGCAATATAATCAATAAAAAAAGCATTTAAAATGTAAAAAAAGGCAAAAAAAGGCATTTAATTTATATAAAAAGGCAATTCATAAATATACTACAAAATAAAATAGTGAACATTTTTTAAACACTTTTAAATGCACACATTTTGAGAAAAATACAAATTAAAAATGAGCATGAACACTAAACTACATTAAGTTTATGCTATTTTGTATAAATAGATTAGGTACCTTTTTCTTTAACCAGGTTTGTCCTAAGAATTAGTTAAAAACAATTTTAAATATTAACTTACTTGAGTTATACCAGTTAATTTAATGCAAAATAAACAAAAGGTAAAAAAAGTCAAAAAGGCATTTATAAGTAAAAAGGCAAAAAAAGGCAAAAAAAAAAGATCCATTCTCTAAGAAATTAAATGAAACACATTTTTGTATAAAAATTATTTTTCTATTATGATTAATAAAAAAAAGACATTTGCCTTCAAATCCGAACCCTAATAATAACTATTTAATACCTGTTGAATAAATCTTTTATTTTATTAGGTATACATTTTTGTTTTTCATACTCAACACAAACATAGGTATTTGAATATTTTATTATATTTTGTACTATGTATATTACTCGAGTATTACTTGATTTTTCATCCATTGGGGCTTGAACACTTTGTTAACTTTGTCCAAGCAAGTGCCCACATAACTTTCATTAGGTGTTTGTTGGTGATCTGCAATGGCTATCGCCAAAGTCGTCACCGAGTCTTTTATAATATATTCTTTGTTCATTGAAAACAAATTTATTAAGCAACCACGGCGGTAATATGGAATAAATTAATGTATGAAGTAAACCGTTTTGACTGTTGTTGCCAATCTCAGGACTTTGAATGTAGATTAGAATATTATTCAATTGTCGAGGTTGTCAGTACTCGTTACTCAGATGTAGACACAGAGCACAGTGACACTAGACGACCATAGACGGTAGTAATGTAGCAATTAGCAAGCTAGTAGCATGATAGAAAGAACTTAAAAATTTTAAATTTCAGAATCGTTCACATTTATTATCACTATTTGTGAAAATCACGTTTGTTATCATAGATAATAAATAATATACAGTGGTGGAACCTCGATTATCCGGGTTTATGGTGTGGAGGGGGTCACACGGATAAATGAAAACCACGGTTAAGAGGACGCTACACCCGCATGTGTTGTCTCCGTCTTACACACGTACGACATAGACAAAACGCGTTTAGGCAGTCTGAGTATAACTCGCTCAATTTTGGTTCTAGAGTAAAAATGCCTATTATGAAATTGAATTGTGATAATATTTCTAAGGGCAAGACGCTGCGGTTTTTCCATTATACCCAATATAACGTTCATTATATCGTTTAGAAATAGAAAAAATTTCACCATTTTTAAAATACCTTTGACTTTTAAAAAATTTAATTTTTTAAAAAAACCGCAGCGTCTTGCCCTTAGAAATATTATCACAATTCAATTTCATAATAGGTATTTTTACTCTAGAACCAAAATTGAGCGAGTTATACTCAGACTGCCTAAACGCGTTTTGTCTATGTCGTACGTGTGTAAGACGGAGACAACACATGCGGGTGTAGCGTCCTCTTAATCGAGACTTTTTATAATAATGACATTTTTTTAAATTATAATTGGAAATACATAGGTACAATTTTATTCGTTAGTCGAGCTAGTATATAATCGTGGTATGACAATAACAAATTACATTAACTGTAATAACAGATAACATTTTAGTATTTTACAAAACTACAGTATCATACATTCATACCATGAACATAAAATATCAATATTTAATTTAAGCTAGGTACAATTTAAAATTAAAATAAAACTTGTGCCCAATACGCCTATACTACATGCTTAACTATACAGAAATACAAATTGTTTTATTCCTTTTAACTATGTCTTTATTTTTGTAGAATTGTATCATACCATAGAACTTATATATTATACTCAGTACCTATAATACGGTCTATTGATAAATCTTATGTTCATTTACAGAAATCTTTGTGATCTACTGATCTGCAATGTACCTATTCTAGTTTTATATTTCTGTTATAGTACGCATGCCAAATTTAACTACACAGATTGCAGGTCCGCAAGTTTATGGACATTCTAATACATTCTCCCGCCAGTGCAACTAGACACAGTGTTTGAGAAGTTATGTTTTTTTGGTACCTAATCAAAGTATAATATGAATTATTATAAGTTACCTATATCGGGCTATATATCTAAATTCTACATGTCCAAAACTCGACTACCAGGATTTAAATAACAAAATGTGATTTAGGTAACCTATTGGCTATTGATCTATTATAAAATAGAAACTTAACCTACCAATAATATCACTATATAAAATAATTAAAAGTGATAATTTGAAGACGATTTCTTAAAACCCTAAAATATTCTTTTTAATTTAGTGTCTAATCCATATAGTTTAGCGCCAACGCAAATTTAATTTTTTTTTCGGAAACCTATGTGTTGCAACTAATTATAACATTAATGATGCAAAAATTAATTCCCGGAAATTGTTAGTTTTTATGACATGTCTTAAGAAGTTCACGATTTTCGGTGTCTTACGTGCCCGTACTGGCCGTACTGCATCAACAATGCAAACGTCGAGTACGTGACGCCACCTAAGAAACAGCTATCTTCATCTCGATCCGAACTGTAACTTGAAATTATCGAAATATTTTATGAAAATTACCTGAACACAACGAAATGTGCGAATTCGTGTTAAAAGTTACATTATAATATATACGGCTTAACGAACTATCTGTCTATATTGATGGCTTATTATTTTTTTTTCACTAAAATTATTAGAATTGTTAATCACCGCAGACGAATGTCGACAATTGGCGATTGCCATAGATGGCTATGATATAAAATTTTTTTTTTTAATATGATAAATCCATAGAACTTCTACACTCATCACATAAACGGTCTATTGATAAATCGTGTGTTCTTTTACAAAAATGATTGTGGTCTGCAATGTATTCTTGTTTTCTATTTCAGTTATTTATCGCAAACTAAATTTAACCAAACAAATTAGTCCACAAATTTATAGACATCACAAATATATAATATAAATTATAATTTACAGTAGTTTATATCTGTGATAGACATTCTAATATCTAAAGCATTCTCTCGCCGGAGGCCATACTCCATAGACCCAGTTAAATTTTTACCTACAAATTTATAAATAAAAAGTGGTCGGGCCAAGGAACTTTATGAATTTTAAACTGATAAATAATTTACAAAATAATTCTCTCATGACTATAAATAGCTCAAAAAGAGTCAAAATAGTTTGAAAATGTTACCATGTATGGAAAAATGAAGTATAAATATTTTTTTACTTTTTTGTTACAGGTGGAAAAACTTATGTAACTTCTTCTATTTAACTTACCCTACCAATAATATCACTATATAAAATAATTAAAAGTGATAATTTGAAGACAATTTCTTAAAACCCTAGAATATTTTTTTAATTTAGTGTCTAAACCATATAGTTTAGCACTCAAGCAAATTTTTCAATTTTTTTTTTTTTTGGAAACCTAGGATTTGCAACCAGTTATAAGATTTATGATGCAAAAATTAATTCACGGAAATCATTAGATAACAACTGTTGTTATCGCATATTCTTACGAAGTATTCACGATTTTCGGTGTCTTACGCACCCGTACAACGCTTAAAGTTTACCGAGCTCAAGTAGGTATAATAAATAACAATTTTTTTAACCTAGTTAAATCAACGTCTTCAGAATGATGGTGCAAAAATAATTCATAATAAGTCGAGGGATGTTTTTAATTATAATTGTCCGAGCAAGCTCAGCGTGCAAGTGAATACGCCGGGTAGGTATATATGTATATGAGATAACCAAAAATTTCAATTAGCTATAACTTTAAAATAGACTTCCCTATCATTTTCAATTAAAAACTAATGATTTTCGGCAATTAATTTTTGCAATATCGTTCTTAATTCGTCTTAGCTTCGTGGGTCTAGAATGAAAAGGTTCTAAATCGCTTTTATGAAATTGTCCAGGAGATCAATTTTAAGGTTTGAGTTAAAATATCTTGTTCTTTGAAATCATTTTGTTTAAATTAAAGTTCTAAGGCATGTAGCAACTTGTATAGTTTAATTAACATCATTATAATAATGATTTGCTGTATTGGTTGGTATTAAAATTAATAAAATACATATTATAAATTGGTTCTACAATTAGGAACTTTTCAACCTAAAACAAAGAGAAATATATTCATCAATTAGAACTTTTTCATTCTCAACTGTTATTTGTATATTGTATTATTGTTAGCTGGATATGTTAGCTGAATAGTTTTGATTTATAAATTCAGGCATAGTTTGAATACAACTTTTTGTATTCTAATTGTTAAGATGTATTTAAAAAATAATAATAATCCTTTAAAATTAAGTACTTAGTCATATTTTGAATAATTCACTCAGTTACTAGTAAATGTTTTGAACTTAAAAAATAATGCATTTGTGTGAACGGCTAAAATTGTGTATAAAGCATCAACATATATTTGTATTACATTTTAGTATATGATTATGGTAGACAAATGTTGATTAAAGCGTAAATAACAAATTTAAAAAAATGGCATTTGACTAAAGTTATATAGTTGTCAAACCTTATTATAGTCTTTAAACTTATTTAGAGATATTTGTAAGACAATAAAAGGTTTTGTTGAGTTAACTTTTAGTAAAGATCTAACAAATGACAATGGTGACCAAATATCTATTTTTTTATATGTTTCGTAATCTGTGAATATGCATTATCCACTTCTTGGATGCACGAGTAGCCTGGAACTGAAAACTTCATTGTAACTGATTTTGCAGTTCTGGGATTTTTCAACATAAACCCAATAATGACATTATCTTATTCTAGTTTTGTGGCACACAGCTATCAGACCATGTAACAATGTTTAGTATACCCAAATGGCCAAATTATTATCAACAATATGTTGTAATATGTTAATAAACACACTTGCAAGGTCATTATGCGATCTACCAATAATTGTTTCATTCCAAATAGCACAATATATAGTATTGGAAGTAGACAAATGAGCTGTAAGGCTTTAAAGTTTAAACATTTAATTTTTTTTTATAAAACGCTGGGCCGACATTTGTTTTTGGAAGTGTGATTTCATTTTGTAATACAAAACAATCAACTACATTTTCTTGATCACATCTATTTTTGTCTCCATCTCTTTCCATTCTCGTAGTATCTTTTTTAAGCATGTGTTCTTCATACTGACATTGTTCATTACTTGATACTTTAAATTTGTTTTGGTTTATTTATAGTTTAAATACGAAATCTTATTTAGCATATAATTTAATGGGTTAGGTAAGTAATTACATGTTTTCTTGGTCACCTAGCTAGTATGTAAATTAAACATTTATTTTTTTTGTACAAATACAAAATCCCATGTCTATATTTTGGGTTAAGGCATTTTTATAATTGCAAGTTTTTATGATGTTTTTTATTTATGATTATTTTCTTAAAAAAAAATTATTTTTATCTGTAAATCAGGTCTAAATTGGCTATAATATACATTCATAATTTTTTACAAATTAGAAAAATAATGATACTTTGCTAGTATGTGAATAAAGAATTTTTTTTTGTAAGTCATTTATAATTTGTATTTATTAATTTCAATAGTTTTTTAATAATGGCTTTTTTTATGGAGCATTTTATCGAATAATTTTAAAGCATACCGACCGTTTCTAAGGAGTTCAATATAGGCAATTTTCTATGTGTGTGATTGCGGGTCGTGTAAATGTTTGCTAGTAAGTGATCATTAGTGTGAGTGACTGTGTATAAAATAAATAGCGAAGTGCATTCGCAAGTGCAGACACACATCAGTAACTCGGCATTATACAGACTAATTACAAATGTGAATTTTAGTGAAACACTGAAATATAGTTTCGTATTTCTAATTATATATTAATATAGCTTACTGAGTGACATATTACAGCATGAACTCCTATTATACAAATTGAAGGGAAGAAGTTTATCTAGGCTTGTATAGAAGTCGATTTTCGATATTTTGTTTTCAATGTCCAATATTTAGCTCTAAAACTTGTGATATTTCACTTTTTGAATTTGAATTATTGAGTTTAGTAATTACAAATATCAAAAATTGACTTCTATACAGACACAGATTAACTTCTCTTCTACAATATTGATAGGTAATAAGTGTTTTTACTCTCAAACCTCTCAATAAACCATATTATTCGAAATACAAAAATCAATGGTCATTATTCCAAAGTAAAAAAGTAAAACACATTTAAAAAAAAAAAGTATTTGAAAGTATTTGTATTTGTATTTAAATACGTTTTTTCCCAAGTATTCAGATACGTATTATAAATACTTTTTAAAATAAGTATCTGTATCTGTACTTGAATACTTTTTAAAAGTATTTTTTAAACCTATTATTTTTACTGCCACATTCAGTACAGATACAGATACTTATTTTCAAAAGTATTTACAAATACTTTCAAATACTTTTTTAAATGTTTTTTTTTCTATGGTACACTCGACTGGAAACGAAACAAGCAGACGTGGTCAAGTTGAACCATAACGTCATTAACCATGGTGTAGCAAATCGAAATTCACTTTGGTTCCCAACACATTCCTTATCATTAATACAACGATAACGTTACCCCATCAAATTTCAATTATCAACCAGCAAACATCATTAAAGGTATTCTTATTTCTTCTACCGGGACCTCTAAGAAATATGTCGAAGAACAAATTAAACTTGACCCTTCCTCCTGGTGTGGCTGACAACCAACAGCCTGTATCACCATCTGCACCATTATCGGCAGCATCAGACGCAGGGTAAGTGACCATAAGCTACTAAGACAAAAATTGTCTGTTGACACTGGTTGGTTAACCGTTAATATAATTTTTGTGTACGTTACAGATGCGACAAATTAAGCGTAGCAAGTCTACAAGAGCAATTGGATCGGGTCGGAATGGACGACGAACAACGGAAACGAATGGAATTATTTTTATGTCAAAAAGAAAAGATTGGGGGTGAACTTAGTGATGCAGACTTTGAGAAAATGAAAGATGGTGAACTAGGTGCTGGCAACGGTGGAGTAGTCATGAAAGTCAAACACAAGTCCAGCGGACTCATCATGGCCAGAAAAGTAATAGAACTTAATAAACTTAATTGATTTCCTAATACATACAATAATGTTTAAAACTTAAAAATGTAATGTGGACAAAATTATATAATACATAGGTATAATTGACTATAATTCTAATTTCTATGATTTTTGACACCTCACTTTTATTTATATATGTATATTTAAATTTAAAAAATATTTAGCTCATACACTTAGAAGTAAAGCCTGCAATAAAAAAACAAATCATTCGGGAACTTAAAATTTTGCATGAATGTAACCATGCACACATAGTTGGTTTTTATGGAGCATTTTACAGGTAATTGTCTAATTTAATAATAGTGTTTAAAATTAATAAAAACAATAATTTCTTGTATTTATATAATTACCATATGGTTATAGTGATGGTGAAATTAGTATTTGCATGGAATACATGGATGGCGGTTCCCTTGATCTCATATTGCAAAAGACTAGAATACCTGAGCCAATGCTTGGAACTATAACTGCTGCTGTGCGTCCACACCAATAGTTTTTAGTTATAGAAAAAATTACCATACACATTTTTTTTTATTCTTTAGGTTGTCAAAGGTCTGATTTATCTACGAGAACAACATTCCATTATTCACAGAGATGTCAAACCCAGTAATATTTTGGTAAACAGTGCAGGGGAAATTAAGATATGTGATTTTGGTGTGTCTGGTCAATTAATAGACTCTATGGCTAACTCATTTGTTGGTACTAGATCATATATGTCTGTAAGTAATAAAAAAATTCTATCATAAAATTATACTTTTAGTTTTTATAACTTATTTTGTTCAACTTAATTTTTAAGCCTGAACGACTACAAGGTACACAATATACATTACAAAGTGATATATGGTCCTTGGGATTATCTTTGGTTGAAATGGCCATTGGAATGTATCCCATACCCGCACCTGATGCTAAGACCCTAGCATCAATATTTGGGCCTAGATCTCAGGCGACTGAAACAATAGAAAATATTGAAGGCGATGTCTTCGGTAAGAAAGTTTTAAATATAACTATAATATATTTGTTACATATTGAGCCATTGGCTATTTATTTAAATCAACCTTCTTTCTCATTCAGTGTTTTAAAATTATTTTTTATGTTTATAAAATACTTAAAACATTTTAAATATTAACATGTTTTAACTGTTAAAAGAGTTCATTTGACTTGCATAGTTTTCTTATTTTTATCCATATGATTTTATTTTAGCAAATGGAAATGGACCTAGACCAATGGCCATTTTTGAACTCCTTGATTACATTGTTAATGAACCACCTCCTACATTACCAGCTGGTATATTCTCTGATGCCTTTAAAGATTTTGTAGACAGATGCTTAAAGAAAAATCCCAATGAGAGAGGAGATTTCAAAATGCTTATGGTAAGTTATAATTATTACTTAATAGTTAATATTAATATATGTTCTAATGTCTGGGTTTGGAATAAAGGCAAAATCATATTTTGAAAATTGCTTGAATTTAATTATGTGTCACATAGCTTTTTTACTACACTTAATTTATATCTCAATATTTTTGTTCAGTGCTCGAAATGGAAAATTTTCTGAACCGGAACGCTTTTTTTTGAGTACATACCATAGAATTGGGGGCTTCACCCAACCAAAATTACTAACCCTTTTTTAATAATAAATAAGTTGTGTCTATTATTTTATGAAACTCACATTATATTTTCAGCCCTTTTAAAAATTTAAATATATTTTTACCTTCTTTTACTTACTTACGAATATGTATATATTATATAAAATAAAAATATAAATATAAAAGAACTACTTAAAAACTTATATTTATTTAAATTCTATATTTATAACTAAAAAAGGTACAGCATCAATACAATTTTTTTACAATAACCTCCACAGTGATTCGTAGGTCTTATCACACTTTTGATTTCTTTTACGACTTGCGGTATCATCAGCTGAATGTCGACCATTCAATAACCAAGATCGAACGTATTTTTCTGGTTCGAATTTCGTTAGAGGTAGTCCAACACAATTAATAAATAAAAGAGCAGCAACAGTTTTTATATTTAAAGAAGTTCTTAGTGGTGACATGATTTCGTTCACATTCGCTAGTCGATACTGGAATCGTTGCAATTGATTTATAAAGGGGTTTCAAATCTTCTGGAATTTCCTTTTTTCCCAAGTCCATTTTATAAATTCTAAAACTTTGAATAGTGCTTTTTTCATCAATTTGAAATTGTTGACATAAATTACGAATATTATAGTCACCAAATTGTATGTTATCTATTTGGCCATCATTCGAAAGTGGCCAATTTTTTGGATTCAATTTTTCAATATTATCAAGTAAGTTTTTAAACGTTTTGTCATTGTCTTGGCGATTTTTTTCATTACGACTGACATTTGATGAACTGGAAGTCATCATTCGAGATTTTAAATTATTAGCTAGGCTTTTGTAAAATTGTGCAGAATTATTTTAGAAACTTTACCACTGTGTAATATTACATTTTTATACGACATTTTGTTCTTTATTTCTTTTAATGCGTCAGTTAGTTTTGGACCCGGATCGGTTGCCATAGAATCTAATACACGTATTATTGTTCTTATAAATTTATCAGCGTCTACTAACGTAATACTACGTTTTTGTAAATATTCTGACAAACTACGCTATCGGCGGACGACGAATGACGATTATCTAAAGATAAGCAATAAATTTACTAATGCGTCGCGACGTCGCGGTCGTTTGTCGTTTATTAAATATTTTACAATGCACAATTCTGCAAAATGTTTAAATTTTACAAAAATATAGTAGGTACAGTAAAAATTTGTTTGAACCGGAACGATAAACGTATTTTTTTTACGAACCGGAACGCTAAAAATTTTTTTGTCGTGAACCGGAACTGCGTTCCGGTGCGTTCCGGTCCATTTCGAGCCCTGTTTTTGTTACAGTAAAACCTCAATAAGTCGAAATTCAAGGGAAATTAAATTTTTTCAACTTGTTGAGGTTTTTAACTTACTAAGGTTAGCGTAAGTTAGATTAGGCAAGGGAACAGCATTTATTTCAACATATCAAGGTTCCATTGTATTTTTTTTAGTTTGAAAAACTGTATGGTAAAATTAAACTATATTTTATTTTTTCTGAATTATAAATTATAATTATTGTATCATCTGCATTAGCAGAAAAATACATTATATTTCAATTATAGTAAGTATTTGACAGAAAATTACTCAACTTCAAAAATATTAAATTTACCTTATATTCAATTCTGAGTGGGAGTATTTCTCCAGTTGAAAATATCTACTATGCTCACGTTTTTTTTTTTTTTATGTGTTTTAAGTTCATTTTTTAAATAATTCAAAAAAAAAAATTGACCTACTGCATAGTATGCATTAAAATTTGAATTATTATAATTTTAGTATGAAATTATGAAGGTCAGTACAACAATTACCGGTATACAATGGTGGGTACTTCCGTGTTATCTCGACTACTTTAGGTTCACAACCGTGTTATCTCGACTACCAAAATATTTCCAAGACTACCTATTATATGATCAACCGTGTTATTTCGACTACCGCAATTTTTTAAATAATAAAAATATATAAAATATATAGGTTAAATCTATTCTGAATAATAATATAAATCTATTTTGAAACACGATAAAATGGCATAAAAATGTGTATAGAAAAAATTGTAATAATATAATATAATATAAAAATTTTAATAATATAATATAATATAAAAAATAAATAAAAAATGTAGTAATAATTTTTTTGAGGAGGAAAGCAGGTTTTAATATCCATTAAAATCTTATTAAACGGTGGATCGTTACCAAGGTTTTGTCGCCAAACAAATTCAGTCAGGTATGAATCTAGATGATGGCGAGCTGTTCCCCTATGTTTTTTGTTTCACCACTTTGCCGATCCCCAAAGGCGTTCAATTGTTTGGGTGTGTGCTCCTGTGGTTGGGTCAACAAAATTGTATGTATGATTGACAGTATAGTGATTGAAGACGGATGATTTTAATAATTCGCTGGAATATATATTTATTAACAAATTACGGTATACGGAGGTAGTCGAGATAATCCGGATGATTCCAACAGGTAGTCTTGGGAATATTTGGGTAGTCGAGATAACCCGGAAGTACCCAGTGGTGCATTGGAGGGTATACGCGGGTATACATCGTATACCCGGATTCCTATTTTTGGATTTATGCATATACCTTTAAAAAAATTAGCCTTTTATGGGAGCCCCCCACTATTGAATTCAAGTAAATTTTCAGAACCCCCCCCCCCCCCCCCCCCATAGAAAATTCCTTTTTTTTATGGTTGCCTAAATGTAATGATTATCAGGCATATAGCCATAGGTAATAATATATGAACTAAGGATTCAAGAAGTTACTAATACAACATTGACACTTATTGTCTGATATTAATGGTAATTTCTAAATTTGTATAAAACAATGAAGTCAATAACACATACATTGGATAGTAAACAATATAATATAATTATTTTTATATTTTATAGGATCATCAATGGATAAAGAAAGCGGAAAGTGAACCAGTTGACATTGCTGGATGGGTTTGCAAGATAAAAGGTTTAACTCCAACTACTCCAACCAGAATGGCTTCAAATTCAGCATCATGAGTCTGCTCACTGCTCCTAATACAAAGGCTCACTGCTGTGGACTCCTATTTAGACAGAAATGTCTAGAGGTGTGCCCCTCCCAAGCTTAATATAATATAATTGCTTTTGCCAAGAAATTGTTTTGATCGTATTTATATAGCCTTTTATAGGGTGGTAATTATATATTATATAATAATTATTAAGTAGGATATTGAATGTTATTTTAAAATATATTAGAGATAATTTATAACTAATAATCCCAAGGGCGTTTTTTTATAAACTTTTCTACGTGTAATGTGTGATGAAAGCATTAATTTCTATTTCTATTGTTATATTTTATTGGTGTGTTATGTTTTTTTAACCTTATAGCTTACTTGCCTTTCTCTTTTCACAGGCTTATGTTGGTTTAGGATAGGCACATAATATGCATCATATTGGAGTTGACGCGTACCAAGCTTAATTAAAATATTAGTAGTATAAGTATTGAACAAATAAATAATTAAGGTCTATTAAATCAAGTTAATAAGAATTTTTTTTTTTAATTAATCTGTGTGGTCTATTTTGCTTTTAGTTCTAACATTTCCAACATTATAAATTCAGTGATTTTTTTGTATGTTTTTTTTTTTACTGTTATGTAGATGATTAGATTTAACATTTATATTTATTTTTATTATAGTTTATTTGCTAAATTTAATTTTCCAATGTAAATAAATTTATTTATTTTAAGTTCATAAGTTGTTCCTGCTACTTCAGAGTGCACCCTTTTAACCCACTTTTTTTCTTAATTTTGCCATCGTCCCATTTAATAATGTACCAGTTTAGGTTTATGCAATTGCTTTTGGTAAATATTTAGACATTTTTATTTTTAAATTGTTTAGCCGTATGTTCATTATTTGTTTATATTATGATATTACATTATTTATTTAAATGTAATGGTTATTATTACATAGACTAATTAATCAAAATTACATTGAATGTCTTGGCATATCATTAGGCCAATGGGAGCCGTAGTAGCAGGAGCAGTAAACTATGTATTACTATACTATAATATTTAATGACAAAATATGGAAATGAAAACCATATGTCATATGTTTTATTCCTAAATATAATTATTACTATTATTCATACTATATAATGTATCATAGAAAATAATATATTATACATTTTTTTAATTTAAATTAATAAAAAATTTATATAAGTACTCAGTGGAAGATTTAGTAGTTTAATGCCTAAATCTGGATTTTTTTCTGTTTGCACCATATTTCATTGCCTTCTCCATCTGTAACATCTTAAGTATATTTTGCTCTATTCTAACATCAAAAAAATGTCTTTAAAATATCTAAGAATTATCCTTCTATTTCTGTGTAGACCTTGAAAAATATGCATACACTTAAAAATAACATAATTAATAACAAAAAAAATTATAGCTTTAGTATCCTTGATAGTATTATTTAGTGGTATATGTAGAGAAAAAAATCAAGGTTTAAGAGTGTGTCTAATTTATCTCCGTATCAAAATCTAATGTATAAAATAAATGCAGATTTCTTTTATTTATTACATTATTACTGAATATAAAATAAGTAAAGAATAATCCTTGTGTAAAATGTATTCAATGAAATGCATTGATTCCAATTGACTATTCAAAACCTTGGACAATTTATATGCAATACCATACACAACATTTAAAAATGTAAGAAGGAGTGAAATTTATTTTGCATAAGAGTGTATTTTATTCATTACAACTACATTCAACATAGGTAATAATAATATTATGTTCAATGACAACAAATTGTAGTTTGTTCATATTCTAATTTAGATTTAAATGTATTATTATTAAATAATTTCTGAACACTATATTATGTTTAATCAATTTAGTATTGTACTAATATAATATATTTCATAAAATTGAGCTAGTTATTTTGGATTCTTGTTAAACATGTCACTTTATACATGTACTTCTATAATATTTGTTTTTTACCTTATTTTATATTTATTGCTTTAATGATATTTAAAAATGTTATTATCATAGGATATAGGACATTAGTGCAAGAGTGTAGGTATAAGTTTCCTATGAGAGGGGTTTAAAGTAGAAATTATGGGAACATAGAAAGAAAGAAAGATTTGAAAATAAATTGTATCTTGTGTAAAGTTAGTTTTTAATGACGTGATGGGATGTGGGGGGGGGGGTTGAACCCATCCCACTGCCAACGCACTTGTAGTATACACAATATTCTTAACATAGTAGATTAGAATTCCATAATATGGATTTTTTTTCTATGAGGAAATTGACCTGCCAGATGTATTTCAAAGTGCTTGTAAAACTACCTAGTTGTCTAATGTATTCATGGATATCCCCTTAAAAACATACTAAATAATTTAAATTAAAATGTCGGTGGATGCCGTAGATTTAAACATGGAATTTTGAGGGTATTTGAATTGTTTTTATAAATAAAATATTCTATAACTTAAATTTATATTAAAAATGTTTTACGCTGACTAATTTTTAAACAAGGCCAGCCAGCTGGTATTTTGCTTCTTGGATTTTAATGCACTAAAAAAATATAAAAATAATACATGAAATAACAATGCTAAAAAATACACAATTTTTGCTAAATTCAATACCTATTGAACTGATAAAATTGACATTGATGGGACGATCTGGAAATTACGATAGATCTTTGACTCGTGTTACGAGTTACGACTTATTTTAAAATCAGAATACGTTGTACAGTATATAAAAATGAAATCTAAGTTAAATTTTATTTTTTGTTAATTTCTAGAGATGGGTCATGTCTGTAAAACATACCTAATGGCTAATACCCTAATACGTACCTAATACCCTAAAACTTCAAAATCCAAAATATTAAGAATGTCCATAAAAAACAATCGTTTGAACAGTTGATATGCGTAGCTTGCGGAACTTGGACAGCATCGTGCCATGTAATCACAATAAATAGATTGAAATGCCCTCGTGTAGGTAGGTACCTATATGGCTATATGCCTGCATCTTACTAACGCATAACATACAAAATTTAACGTTCAGAAAAATTAATTTTATCATGTTATTTTAATATTAGAGTGAATTAACCTATTACCTATAGCCATTAGGTATTTAGGTAGGTGCCAGTGGCGTCATTTGAGTGGGAATTTGCCCCTGTGCGACCTGTGGGAGAAGTCCTATTGTTGATACAATTGTTGGTGAAATAACATTACATACTTTAATTTATATTTTTCTAATTTTGAGGAAATATAATATTATGTGAGCACTAGAAAACAGTCACGATAGTAATAATTAATATATTTATATTTTTTTGAGTTCAGATATATAGAAGCTGATACCTACAATAGTCCCAAATAGAGTTTGGGATTTGAAGGGGCTGAAGCCCTGAATAATAATATTGAATAAGCGTATAGAAAATGTATGAAATGTTTGGAGGGATTAGCCCCTCCTTGATACTTGCTATTAAAAATTCTAAAAACAAAATGATCACTTTTAAATTTATCCATGATTATCTTAAAAAAACCTCTATAATAAAACATAATTAGTGCTAATTACCTATTTAAAAATTTTCGATTTTTCAATCACGTCTTAGCAGTTGTGTTTCTTGTTGTAATTTATTATTGAATTTGTTTAACACCTCTATAAAATATAAAATGATGCCTCTGAGGTAGATACCATAGTTATTTAGTTCCTCCACGTCTTTTTTGCTTTAAAACTGATTTTGCCTCAGACACCGACACGGCGACACGTATAAAGTTATCGTTATGTAAGATGGAAATAGTATCGAAATAGAAATGTAAGTGGAAATTGGCTTGCGAGTGAAGCGATAATTTTTTTTTGGTTCAGTTAGGTGGGAGATTGTAAACTCGGCCCGAGGAAAACACATTTCCAAAAGGTCGATGGTAAACTCGGCCCGGGTTTTTTTCTGGTCAAAATTATTTAGATGTAAACTCGGCCCCGATTTTTTTCAGGTAAAAATGATTTAGGTGTAAAAACCATCATTTTTCTTATAATATTTTTGAGAAACATTTAGCATTACCCAGAGGACACCACGAGGAGGCGGTTCTCATTATCCTTCAAAAATTATTTTCATTTTCATATTATTATTCATAGTATGAAATTCGTTATTTAAAAGAAAAATGTAATTAAAATGTTATAATATTGATAATAAATGTAATTATATAAATGTATAAGTGTAAAAATGTGTAGAAATATAATAAAAAATATATAAGTAAAATTGTAGTGTAAATAATGAGTGAACAATTTTAGTATAATAATATATAAATCTAGTTTTTTAAGTAAAACGCCATGTATTTTACATATTCACTCACTGATATTTCTTTATTTTCATATTTTATAAGTGTTCTTTCTGAGAGTTCTTTTTTTTTTTTATATTTTGGAATTTAAATGGTCCATTTAGGCTGTTGATTTTAATGTACGTTTCTGTTTGTACTTCTTTTAATTTTGAAATGACGGAATATATTATATTTGGGTGAGTGGAATTAAAACTTGAATTAAAATGCGCATGAAATGATTCACATGCATTTTTTGTTAAATACGTTTCAACGGATGCACTGGCCCACATTTCAGGCGGAACCATAGAATCTGACACCTGACATTTTCGGGCCGAGTTTACAATCGATTTATTTTACCATCTGAAATTTCCGGGCCGAGATTACAATCTACCTATTTTTATTACCTACCAAAAATTTTCGGGCCGAGTTTACAACAAAAAAGGTAACTTCGGGCCCAGTTTACATTTGCCCAGTTAGGTATATGGTCTGGTAAAAACTTTTGTACTTTCAGATCTTATTAAAAACTGAAATTACAAAACTGCCTATTACCAAATGTAAACGTAAGAATATTATACACCATACACGTAATATTTTATAGTTGTAATTTTCAAAATATTTTAAAATTCGTACAGCTTGTTTCAAAATTAAAATAGCCTTACTTGGATAACATGCTGAGTTGAGAGATCTGACATTAAAATTTGATGCCTGCACTATTGCAGTATATATTAAAAATCATAGAGTTCAATTAATTTTTCTAAACATAAGATTGCCTATGTTATACGCAGTGGCGTCATTTTCAGGGGAGGCTTTGTCCCACTCAAGTATTTACAACCTTAAGTCAGCACATTTACCCCCCCCCCCCCTTTTGCCACTATGGCACTACGCTATGACAATCTTAGTGAAAAAAAATTTGAGTCGGAAAAGCAGTGAAAAGTTGCCCTAATTTAATAAAATCTGAAATGACGCCACTATGCCACTGGTTAGGTAAAATCAGGGCTTAAAATGGGAAAAAATTCCAAAAGTGACTAATGTCACCACCACTCACCATACGTATAGTTTTAAGCGTTCCATAATTATAATTTATATTATATAATTTTATGTATAATGTCAATGTCAATGTCTAATGTATTAAATCCTAATTTTTTAAAGGGTAGGTACGCTTTTTAATCTGCGTCCTCCCCCATTTTAACCTCTGTTTATCATAATACTTGAGTTTAAAAGAAAATATTGTATATTAAACAACTATTGTAAAAAGAAAAATTTAACTAATACATTTAACGTTCATTAACCATGCAAAACCAGAGAGTGGAGTTCGTTAAAAATTTAACAATATATAATAAACAATATAATCGATGAACAATATGAGATTGGTGAACAACACACTCGCCATAAACACACAGCTTTGACACGCGTTAAACCTCACAGCCCACAGGATCGACACGCAGTTTTCCATCCGCCAAATCTAATTTATATATAGGTCACCTCGAAGAGTCGGCAGGATCTCATATTTTCGGTCCGATGATGATGGTGCACCGAACCAACAACACAATCGTCTGCCGATCTTCAGCAGTTGCCTCCCGAAAGCTGAGAGGATCGGCGGCCTACGCTTAATACGTTCAGGTGCCGGCCCAGGCCCTGATTTACAGGAGTGCAGATGTAGCACATGCACTTGGCCCCCAATTTCTGGGGGGCCCCGGTCTCCGTAAGTTGTAGAAAATTGTTTTTTGAAATTAATTCCACAAAAAATTATTTTGTAAAATGTAATACCAACTGTCAATGTTCAGAGTTCAGTATATTTTTATCATTAAATATTGTCAGTTTTTGTAATTGTCTTTGTAATTTTTAAACTTTTTCATGATAAAATGTTATAAAAATAGAAATGATAGAAATTGATCATTTTTTTTATCCTTTGAAATTTTATAAAATAAATTATTAATTAATACGTTATTTACCATTTTTATAATTTTATGGAAGATTAAAAATTAATTATTTTAATTTAAATTCATATAATAATATCCTTAAGTATTTTTAATATTTTAATATATTATAATTTTGTTATGTTATTTAATTAATGTTATCTTTTCATTGTCCTTAATTTACTAGACCAAGTAACTAAATTGTATTTCTAGTTCACCAAATAATGTACAAATATTTTATGAGTTTTGAGATATTCATATGGATATTTTTTTTTATTATCAACATTTCTCCCCGACTCCCCCCCCCCTTCAATATGTAGATTTTTTGTGCACTTGGCCCTAATCATGAACTAAGATAATATGGACTGGCGACGGTGTTAATATTTGCGGTCAAGTAATTTGACGGTATTTTTGTAGTGGGGGAAATTTAGCGACTGAAACACTATCTATTTGAAAGCATTGACACTATTTCGCCGACCAGCGAACGAACAGAACACGGTTTAATAGTTGATACTTGGTAGTTCATGAAAATAACACTACGGTCGCAAGATTTTCCCCTCTACGGAAACTACGTTGAAAAACCTGACCGCACCACTACCACCCGCCCATCGTGTCGCCACCAGTCCATATTATCTTAGTTCATGGCCCTAATTTTATTAAATCAGGCCCTGGGTGATGCTGCTTCTTTCGTGGCTGACATACCTACATCCTCCGGTTCGGTTCAATCCGTCCGACAGACATTATTTCCACAGAATAATAAATTATGTTATTTCTTCCATAACGTCGATTTCGATCTGCCGTTCACTGGCCGCAGGACGGGACTCGTTTTCGAAGCGACAATCTCGGTCTGCTTAGCAGCCGTTATGACAAGACACATCGGAAAAGTAACAGCAGACAGCACGAAGTTTAACGAACGTCGTATGGCCACAGCTCGCAAGGCTTTGGTCAATGCGTCGGAGACGACTACCATTTTACTATGATTTTACCAGACTTGACCATATTCTTACGCTGTCTAGTGACTAGCGCTGCCCGACAGGGTTGATTTTCGGCTTAAACGTTTGAACCTGCGTAGCCTGCTTCGACGGATTCGAAATCCTGCAGGTTGTCGGCACGTTTTCACTACAGAAATGTAGCTGTGGCTTTGGGATTGCACTACGACAAGGCCAACGAAGAGGAAATCGATATGACTCTTTTTCAGTTGACTCCAGATCAGCTGGAATTTTTGGAAATCTTGGGCGACTCGGTAGAATCTGCGGTTATGCAATAAAATGTTTTCTGCAATTCTGTCTGGTTTTCTAGGAAGAAAGTACGCATTTCCTTTCATAACCGATTCTACCGAGTCGCCCACGATTTCTAAAAATTCCAGTTGATCTACGGCGTCAACTGAAAAAGTGTCATATCAATTTCCTTTTCGTTGGCCTTGTCGCACAATCCCAAAGTTGCTGCGATAACGTTGTTTTATTGACTGTCCATTGTAATTAATCGAATTTGACATATTAATATAATATTTTAATGACAGGAAAAAATCGTAACATCACTAACATCAAATGACAATAATAATATTATGTTTAAATATAACCAATCCTACAATAATAAATTAAACATGCAATCGAATTTCATAGCTATGAAATATAATAATATATTGGCAACGCATTGTTTTTTTTTTAATATACATTATAGGAACTTATATATTTTTGCACGCTCATATAGGTACAGCAAACAGTGTTGTAGAAGAAAATGAGAACATATTATACTATGTGGAATAAAGTTAACAAACGGCCACAATATTGTTAACGAATTTGAATAAGGTACTGCATATTTCATAGTTTCATACCGTATGGGTTTCGAGTCAACCAGGCCGTATCTGAGGAGGGGTCCAGGGTGTCTGGACCCATGAAAAAATGTCTGGATACGGCCTTGGAGTCAACTATAAAAGGCTAGGGTTAATTTGGTTGTTCGGAAACCGACGATATAAATATATAATACATTAATATCGCGTATAGAACATGATATTATATTATTATATAGACGTTCCACAATATAGGCTAACACAACCACTAAAACGACATACCTAAACGTTTTGTGTAAGGAAAAAAATTGTGCATCCGTTTAAAGTAAGATGGAAACAAACGCGTGTACGACGAGACGTCCTGTTAAAAAAAAAAGGAATGTGAGTGATATAATTTGGAGAGGGGGGGGGGTTGTGGAGAAAGCTCGACAAAATAATTTTTATTCGAATCGAGCTCACATAGGTAATATTAATAATTTTTACCTGTAAAATATCGGGGTCGATTTTACAATAGACCTTTTGAACAGATATATACCTCGGGCAGAGTTTACAATTACCCAAATTTGGGAACTGCAAGTGTGCAGATAAAATTATTACCTTTAGGATTTATGAGTATTTTTCCTTAATCCGGCCTCGTGGTGAGGATTGCGGCTGTATGTTTTATGTTGCCTATTTCAATTCAGAAAATAATAACCACTAATAATATAAATTATAATGATATGCTCACACACCATTATAATAAACTAAAATCTTACAGAATACCTAATAAATAACGGACATACTGTCGTTTGTAGAAATTATACCTAATATGTAGGTAACCATGTCAATTAAATTATAATATTATATTAGTATATTACGTAGACTGTAGAGTACAAATTACAAAACGTAATTATTTGTTTAAAAATAAATATGTAAGTATTTAGGTATTGGTACTTGGTTAAAACAACTCCTTTCAATTACATATTTTAACTAATTTTTTTTTAATAATAACATTTAGATTGTTACACTATATTACTAATTATCAAGGCCGGACAATGGATAATGATTAAATAAAAGTTAAAAATAACTTATTGTTAAACCAGTATTTAGGAACATAGGTACCTATATAATAGTACTATATTGCATAATACTAACTTAAAAATACCTACAACCTACCTGGATTTTTAATTAGTACTTATGTAATCCGACGTTAACATGACCATTGATTGTTTTATTAAATGCAGCGAAAACAGCAAATTATTAAAACATTTAAATGCAAGTAGGTACTTGTGAGTTGTGTTTCAATTTTGAACGATAATTAAAAAACCATAAAATTTAACAAAATGTAAATCTATATTTTATAAAAACCTCCTTAAAATCATTATAACTGAATTCTGAAGTAGGTGGTAAATTCTTAAATCATTCTGTAATTTACTGAGTTTAATTACTTATTTTCAAAGTATTGCCTATAGATAATTATTTTGTTCAATATTAGTATTACAAATTGCAATAATTATATTAAATATTAGTTATTGTAACTCTATTTAGAAATTAGTCGGTGGATATGTATTAGGTACGAGATACCTTATTGTTTAATTTTATTAAAAAACTAAACATCTATTAGTTGAAATAATAGACTATGGGGCTATATTATTACAAACAATTATTATTGCTCATTATTCGTAGTATAACTTTAATCTACAGTCACTAATTTTATCAACTTGGATCTTATAAATATTATAATTTATTTTTTTGAAAAATAACTTAATTATAATAAAAAAAAAATAATTAATTATACCTTTGTTGAAACTAAAGTAGGTACATACTACTTACCTATATAGTAGGTAGGTCCTATATAATATTACTATTGAGGCGTGTATAGCAATTCAAAATTAAAACAGATTATAATTAACAACCATTATCAGTTATCACATCGACTTTTGTACTTGAAACTGAAACATTGTCCTGCTATAGTGCTAATCATTTTTATACCGAGTTAGTATTTTCGAAAAACATTGAATGATAACTATGTAATCAAACGAATAAATATAATATAATATAATTGTACATGATATGTACATAATATATTAATATACATGTGTATTGTACCTATACTAATAATTATTATAATTATTTTAGCAGTCATCGTCACTTCAAAGTTCAAGTTGAGGAGTTCTCAACAAAATAATATATACACAAATTGTCGAACAACTGAAAGCACGACCGTATAGGAATTAGGTAAGTCAACTATCTGAACATAATAACTAGGCATAGAATTATTGCCTACTTGGCTACCTATATACCTAATTAGTAATTAGTAATTTTTAATACTAATATTTATTAGTTATTATTAGACTATTGCAGACTGTATTATTATCGTATACCTTTACTGCGGGAGCAGACATTTTTTAATGTAATTTATAGATTTATTTTTATTTTTATCAATACAGGTAAGTCGTAAGTATATATAGTTATAACATGTTTTTGGTTAAGAACTTAAGATCCTAGATTGACATTTATCCTAAATTAATTGCATTATTAAGTGTTTGTAGTAAACCAGCTATTGTGACTATATTATATCCATACAAGATACAATCATTGACTTCATACTAGATTTTTAGATTTCGGATTGACTTGTTTTCTTATTTATTTTCTGACATTTATTCTCATGTGTATCATAATATTATGTGGAATTTTCTAGGTCAATTAGTGTATTTGTATTTTTTTTAAACCAATAATAACATGTTCTATTTTACTGTCATTACAGTATTACACAATACACAAATTGCAATTAATGGTAATATTACAGTTTTAAATCAATCACGATAATTGTTTATAAAACCACACAAGGCACAACACTTAATTTGTTTATTTCTGTTTATGTATTTCAGTTACTATATATTATATACACGGCCATTTTTTGTCTCCGTCTCACGAGTGTGTAACACAGCACATTTAAGCTCAGCAGATCATCTTTAGCTCAGTTAGTTTAAAAATTAGAGTGAATTTTTATGAAACTTGATGGTAAGAAGATAATCTATGTTTTTATATGGGTTTTTTACAATAGTTCAATTTTTTTATGCGTATATAATAATGCGTAGATTAATAACGCTCACAACTCACTTAAAAACTGAACTATCGTAAAAAAAACCCACATACAAACAGATAATGTTCCTACCAAGTTTCATAATAGGTTGATCCACTCTAATTTTTAAGCTAACGGAGTTAACGTGATCTGCCATTTGCTATGTTACCAACTTGTTTAACAACTATAGATATATTCGGTATCTGTGTAACATCCTCTTAACTAATCACCATGTTTCTTTCTTTACTTAATTACCTATTTAAAACTGTTGGATGTTTGCTATGGGGAATAGTTATAAATTACAATTACGTTTAATGAGATTTATTAATCATTATTTTTAAACTATTATAAACTTATATCACAAAAAAAATCTGGGAAGTCGTTCTGCTGTAGGTGTCGACTGTCGAGTGTGCCTCGTCATTGAGTAGAGTAGGTCACCATATAATCATGGAATCATATAATTGGTATGACGTTAAACACACACATTTTAAACCCAATAATACTTAAAATTTTAAATAATATACAATTCAATTCAAGGAAAAATTAAAAATATAAATATAGGTATTATAGGTAGAATAATATTAATAAATTATAATGTTATGTATTTATCTAATCTTTATACTTGTTACTGTTCAATGTATTGTTGTCCATGGTCAATATGGTTGGATACATATAACTAGGTATTTCAAGTAAAACAACTTTAATGGGGAAAATTGTATGCATTTTTAGTACTTTGTTAGTTTGTACAGTTAAACAATGTTTAGGTAATTGTAGCCAATATAATTATCCCAACCAGGTGTTTTGTATTTTTTTATAATTACAAATGAATAAACTCAAGTACAACATACGTATACTTAAGGTACCAAAGGCATATTTACGTAGGGTGACTGAGTCCTCTACTCACTATTCGTTGTGTCTTGTGCATAGGCGTGCGCACGGGAGGGGCAGGGTGGGCAGCTGCCCCTCCTGCGGGCTCAAGTTTTCTTACAAAATAACAAAGTTTTTAAAAAAATATTATAATACAGTTTTATATAATGAATATTATGTAAACATTGAGTGCTCGATGTACAGTGCACGATGATTTTATGTTGTCCAACTTTAAGCGAACCACAAGCGATACCGCGGTGATAACGAGTGCTTATAATCTTATTATAGCATGATGTAGATTGAGATGTGATGAGACATGAAAGTGAGTAGTAATTTGACGGCATTTAATGCGAAAAACGTTCACCGGAAGCGCTAAGAAGGTCGGTTCTTTAAATAATTAGTAATTAATAATTATAATAATTAGTATGCAGTATACGAACAAATATTATAGCTCTTTACTTCCGAAGCAATTTTCGGAATTTTTAGTATTTTAGTATTTTTATGCTCAACGTGTTGATTAAATCAGAATATACCTATCTTTTTTTTAATGTGGTGTTTTATATTGAAATTAATTTTCTATTTATACTGTAACCTACAAATCAAA